CTCTAGCCAAATTGGTAATAAGCTGGTGCATGCTCCTGACCAGCATCTGACCACCAGTCTTGAATAGGCTGGTAAACAATCGTGACCTGCTGCTTTATTATTCTTCAGCCGACTAATTGATATTCTGACCTCATCTTGGCTAGGTGGTATACACTCCATACCGTCATATCTTATTGGTTCTTGGATCCTCAGGACGCTGTCTGTATCTGTCACCAGGTTTCCTTCTTCATCTCTACAGGAGGATGTGCATGCACTAAAGCCTTCTGTTTGGTGTTTTACTCGTTGGTGAAATTTTCGAATTTCGTTCTAACTCCTGAACATCTCGATAACCCGTTTTTATATTAAAATGTTAAACTGATTGGTTTCGCGTGTTGAGGTTGACCCTATACTCGTATAACCGTATTCCACCATAGTATGGGGGTTATTCTGAATTTGAAATTGTAAGTTTATACAATTTTCTCTGATGGTATAGCCATTTCCGTCCCGTACATATATTATTATCGCATTACATTCGGAGGGTACCAAGATACAAAACTAAAAGGTCAGGTCAGCTATATTTGCCCACATTTAGTCATAGACCCATATACTTCTTGATTTTCGTCCTATCAGAGGCAATCTATTAGTCAGTCATTTAAGTAAAGCCTCATATAACTCTACATTGGAGTATTTTGATGTATGTTACACCCTACTATGCGTTATCAAGATCGGTCCATGTTTGCGGTTTTTAAATTTTAGAGAAAATCCTTATTATAAGTTTCTGAAATTTGTATTACGTATACATTGTCGCTCAAAACATGGTACAGGGTATTATGTCTTTGTGTATATGTTTGTAACAGGCATAAAGAAACGTTATAGACCCATGGTTCCTTTTGAGAATATGCACTTTCTGAGTCGATTTGTCCGTCCGTCCGTCTGTTAATGTTAAATTGCAAACAAAGTACAGATCGCATTTATAATCCGATTTGGATGAAATTTTGTACGGCTCATTTATTTGGCCCAAGGACAAACCTTATTGAAATTGGAGAAAACAGGTTCAGATATAGCTCCCATATATATTTTCGTCGATTTTCGATTTTAGATAAATGGTGCACCAAAGGCCCTATATATCTTTCGATTTGCACGAAATTTGTATAGTGTACTGAATTAAGTCTAGAATGATGTGTGATAAGTTTCGTGAAAATCGGTTCAGATATAGATATACCTCCCATATATATTTTCGTCCGATTTTATGTAAATGGTGCACCAAAATCCATAAATATCTTTCAATTTGCACGAAATTTGGCTCAGCGTACTGAATTGAGTCTTTAATGATGTGTGCAAAGTTTCGTGAAAAATCGGTTCAGATTTAGATATAGCTCCCATATATATTTTCTTCCGATTTTATTTAAATTGTGCACTAAAAACCCAAATTTTGTACGATTGCCACACAATTTTGTACAATGCACTTATGTTAATATAAATTATAAATAATAAATGTTAATTAATATAAATTAATATAAATAATAAAAAAACACCTAGTTACATATTAATCGCCCCATTGCTGTTTAAACATTTAATTATTTATATCTATTAAATTTCGCCTTTACTATCTTTCGTTTGTTCTCGTCGTCGTCGTTTTTTCACACCAATTTGAAACCATAACCATTTTTAACGAAAGATTTTTTTTCATTACGAACAGTATTGAAATCGGCTCGTTTCTTTCCCATATTTATGTACATATGTTATATTCGTCTTCTCTTGTACCTCTTCGTTGTTGTTGTTATTTAATTAAAAAAAATGTTGGTGTTTTTTCGTTCATACCGTTTATATTTTGAATACGATTTTCGGTGGTGGTTGTTGGTTGGATGGCTGGATGGATGGTTAGTATCGGAGGAGACGAGGTTGTTTTTACTGTTTTTGTTGTTGTAGATTGGTTTCGAAGTTTTCTCAAAATATTTCAGTTGGTGTGCGTTATTCATCGTTGTCGGTAGGTTTTCACAAACACTTAAATTTTGAGATGATTTATTAAAAAAAAATATTTTAATTAGAAAACTGTAAAATTAAAATACGGAATAATAAGAGACAGTGTTTGAAAAGAATAATATATTATTTTATATTTGTGATCAAAATATTTCAACAAATAATTTCCAGCATGAATTTACATATATTTTCACAGCAAATAAATGAAAAAAATAATGGTTATGAATTCCAAGATTTATTTCATTTGCCCTTTTTGAACTCTTTTTTTTGCAATTGCCGTAGTCTCAGGTGTTGTTTTCGGAAGAAAAATCACGTGTAAATGGCTCTCTAGCTGTGAAAGAGAAAAAAGTTGTGCCTGCATGCTGGAAATTTGGCGCACATTAAAGAGATTCGTTTATTAGTTGCTCTTCCCCTGGCACTCTTTCGCTCACATTGAAATTCATTTCCTAATTCAAACAGAGGAAACACACCAATCGAAAGAGAGCGGCGGTTATTCGTTTAACAAGAAATTACAAAAAAATAAAAAAACAACAACGATTCCATTTAGTTGTTGTGTTGTGTATCGAAGCGGCTGGTATTGAATGAAAATTCCATATCAAAAAATAATGTTTTCAATTAATTAAATATTAAAATGTTGGGATTTGTTAATTGAAGTTATCAAAGGGAAATATCCAAATACGCATTATTATGTTGTTGAAATATTTGTAGTGAGTGTTTTTTATTAAGTGTTTGGTGATTTTTAAACTGGATAATTTTATTTTTCAATATTGGTCTTATTTGCTAGGGTTGCCAAATGTGAGTGCGTGTGTATAATTGGAAAATTACCAGAATCACAAATGTATGGAATTGTTCAAAAATGCGCCCATGCCCAAGGACCTGTATATGGGGGCTATGTCAAAACAATGAACAAAATTTAACATTTTCTGCTATAAATTTTTTTGGAACAACTCTAGTTTAGTAAAACCGATCAGATTTTTCTGAAAAATTTTCCAGATGTATGTATTTTTACCCTAATTATTTCTTGGGGGACGTACCCGGTTACCCGGTTATTTGACCCGGTTAATATAATATAGGTATAATTTTAAAGGTTATACAAATATCTTTCCATTGAGTGATAATATGATAGTCAAAAAACTGGGTTTTGGCCCCCGATTTTTTTGAAAAACTCCCTAAAAGTCGAACTTGGGTCCATTATAGTCCCCCTGGCTGTATCTGTTGTGGATCAAAAGATATGGACCTTAGAACCCACATATCGCACCATTTTGGAAAGGGCAAATTGTGGTCTATCATTTGAATCTGGGTTGGAGGGGGACTATAATGGACCCAAGTTCGACTTTTAGGGAGTTTTTCAAAAAAAATGGGGGCCAAATCCCAGTTTTTTGACTATATTTCCAAAATGGTTTGAGATAACCATCATATTACCACTCAATGGAAAGGTATTTTTATAACCTTTAAAATGATATCTATATTATATTAACCGGATCCGTAGAACCGGATATAACCGGGTACCCGTACCCGAACTTCCGGCTCAAATAACCGGGTAACCGGGTACGTCCCCCAAGAAAAAAGATATCCCCATAATTAGGGTAAAAATACATACCTCTGGAAAAAAATTTCAGAAAAATCTGATCGTTTTTACTTAACTAGAGTTAAGCCATTTTTTTAAACTGGAATCTTTAATATGTTCTATTCGATTAGAAAATGCGCCACAGATTACCTAAATACCTATAATTGACCATTATGTGATGTTATGTCGAAACTTAAAACCTACATTACCTTTTTTGGTATGAAATATTCTACACAGCAAAAGCTTGGAATGCCAATTTACAATCACTTCAGTTTAATGAAATTTAGGACCTTTAAAATACCATACATAAGGAGGGACGTATATATAAAGACTATGTCATTAATGTACCTGTTTGAAAAAATATCAAATCGATTTTAAATATGTGGACCAATATTTAGTACTTTTTGTGCAAAATATCAAATAATACCCCATTCGTTTGGGGTTCAAAATTCCGAAAATTTAAGTCTACCGTCCGTCAGTGGGACCAATATCGATTTTTTATACCCTCCACCATAAGATGCAGTGTATATTAAATTTGTCATCCCGTTTGCAATGCCTCGAAATATTCACCGGAGACCTCACAAAGTATATATAAACTTGATCAGAACAAAATTTTATGTCGATTTATGCATGTCCGTGTCTCTGTCCGTCTGTTGAAATCACAATAGAGATCGCAATATTTAAGATAGAGCTCCGACATTGCTAGTACTCCTAGGATGTTTGGTATTGCAAATAGAAAATATCGGTTCACGTTTTGGTGTAGCCCGCACATAACGGTAGCCCCATATAACGATACCTCCCCATATTCGGTATTTTGGACACGTTTTTCAATTAAATTGGCTGTAATTTAGTATTTTGGATTCTCATTGTACAGCACATGCCCGTACCAGAAATTATTAATATTGGCCCAAGTTTCAGAGTAGCCCCCATAAATTTATCGTCATTACCCAAAATGGTACAATTATCAGTCATGTATGGTAGGGTCCGGCATGTCCGAATGTATTCAAGCCTTCTTGTATTTCTGGCTACCTGAAAGCGAACTAAATGATAAAAATTTAAATATTTTGCTCATAGCTATAGGTATGATTTGTGACCGTAAATGTCTCTTTTATAGGCTTTGTATGATTTAGCAGAAAATCGATATTTTAAACCCAGCCCGCCAAATAATTTGTGTATGTCAAACCATTAGTTTTATGTTCGCAAGCATTTCTTTTAACTTCAGGTGCCTACAGCAAGGGTAAAAGTATTCCAACCTGTAAGGTGCATCTGATGATTTTTACTTTTCAGCATTTTCTCAATAAAATTCCTTAGTTGTTGGCTCCCAATATGACGAGGAAAACTGCCAAACCCTTTTTTCAAGCATAGCCTTTTTAAGGAACCCTCAGTATTCCATTCATAATCTCTATTAATAACTTTTTTCTATTCCAGCCAACATTCCCATAAGAACGCTGTGCGTCCTTTCAACTAAAGTCCAATGTTAATACCGCGACAAAAACACACCAATGGCAGTGACATCACCCTAAAGAAGTTTCCAAATTCCAGCATTGAAATAAAACCGATATTTAAGAAAATGCCACAACACAATCATATCAATCAATTGTTGAGCACCGCAGCGGCTGGAAATGGTGTTATAGGTGATGTTGATGCTTTGCTAACACCATTGGCCAATACGGGCAAACACAATGACAACCAAAACAATAGCAGTGGTGGCGCTGGTGGTGGCTCAAACTCCAAAGAACGAACCGAACGTAATCTCTGGCGTAATGATGAAGTCATGGAAATGCTGGTGGTAATGCAGCAAACCAAAGCTTTAGAGAAGCTCAATGACAAGACGGTGAAAAGCGAAAATGTCTTTAAGGATGTGGCGGCAATAATGCATAAAAACGGGTTCATCAAGAAGTCACACGTTCAGATATGGACTAAATGGAAATTTCTGAAAAGTACTTATATGACATCGCGTCGTAACGGTGTAATACCGCGTATGATACCACATGACATCTATGAGACAATACATCAGATGATTACCACTTACAATCAGGGAATGAGTGAATGTGGCACCTCGACCACAGCATCCATGGATGGAGATAATTCCAATGCTGGTCATGTTTCTAGGGCAAGTGTTGATGGTGGGGGACCAGCGGAAAAGTTGGCTGGAAATGACACTAATCAAACGGGAGACAATTTCCATATGGCTCATCCGATTTTTGGTTTTAGTTTGGGTTTGGTTAAAGATGAACCCACTGATACAGGTAAGAGGAAATATTTTTTTGTATTTTACAACAAGAATTTACAAATATATTATTTTTTATAGGTTACAATGCTGTGGAAAACAATAAAACTGAAACGGCCACCGAAAATCAGTTAAATGGTACTATAAGCGAGAAAGTACAAATCCCCGATAAGCCTACAAATACCGTTATTGAAAATCAAACAAAAAAGACATTAGAAATACCACATAGGGGCCGTGGACGTCCACCAAAACAAAAGATCTTACCAGCAGCAACTTCCACACCCATCACAACAGTCACAACAGCTCTACCCAATCTACAGCAGATGCCACCATTAAGAGTAGCTCCATTTGCAAAAGCGCCAAACTCGAGCAATGCTCTGGCAGCAAGTCGTCCACCACCACCACTCACAATGCCACCATCACCACGACAAATACAAATTACCACTATCCCCACTATAAGTGTGACTCCAAAAATTTCCAACAACAATAATCCAGCCAAAGTTGGACAAAGAAAACTTCTACCCAAACTATCAATGCCTCCCAATGAAATTCAAAACGCAGCAGCTTTACGTCTATTAAATGATCTCCAAACTAGTCGGGCTTCCTCCGCCTCCCCATCGAACAATTATCCGAAATTAAAACAAGTACCAATGCGCAAAACGCCATATTCATTACGACCCGAAAGATTAATACCAGATTTAGAGGAATCATTTTCACCGCCTCGTGCTGAAATGCCAGTAAACGGTGAAAGATTCCCACAGCAAATACAACAACAACAAGAAGGAACGGCAATGATCACTGGTCAAGTTACACAAAATGGTGTATCGTATCGTAAACGTAGATTGGATTGGTCCCAGCAACAGCGCAACACTCCAACTAAATTCCGCAAAATCCCCAGTGATGATGAGGATATGCCTGCCCTGCAACAGCCCCAACCACTTCCTAACCAAAAAGAGGAGAGTCGACGTTATGGAAAACATCTACAAAATGTCATCATTGATTTGAGCACCAACATGCGACAAATTCAAACTCAAATGATGCGAGAATTCTTTGATAAACAACACGAATTGTTGCAGAAAGAACATGAATTCCAAATGCAACAGGATCGTATGATAATGGAATCTTTCCAAATGCAGACCTATGAAATTATGAAATCGGTCAAGGAGTTAGTGGGTAGTATAACTACTCGCAGAAATGACATGGAAGAGCAACATTTAAATTCTCAATCCAATCAAGAACTAATTGAACACGAAGAGTTCCACAATTTGGGAGAAAGTCATGAACAAGAATTGGATAATGAGGAGGCAGTGGATTCCCAAGATGGTATGGGTGAACATCCAGAACATGAATTTTCTACCGAAGAAATGGTCCAGCAAGTACAAGAAGATGCTGAAGCGGAAGAGGAGAATAACGAAACTCATGGACATCACGATAATGAACAAGAAACCGTACAAAGTTATCCAGAAAATCCCGACATTGATGAACAGGATGGTGTACAAATACAATTGCAACAACACGATGAACAAATGCAACACCAATCATCACAATCTCAAGATGATAACGAATCGCAGGAAAATGTCAATGGTGATTGTGGTGGTGGTATTGATGGTCTAGTTGGGGACGATGATGATGATGACGAAGACGACGACGACGATGAAGATGATGACGATGATGACAGTGACTCGGATGATGTGTCATCAACAACTACAGATAATGATGGTGATTCACGGCACATGATGAATGGTATTCATTCGGCTAACTTGGATCAAATGCTTTCGACTGAATTGACTGAAGAAGATTAAAAGACATCACAAAGTAGATATTAAGTTAGGAAAGTATTCCATATAAAAACTACAACAAAACATTCCACATATAAGTAAAACAAAAACTGAAATTGCTTTTAAAGCACCATCATGTACTGATTCTAGTACATACGTATATATTTTTGTTTCCTAAAACATAAGACGTTATTTTGTTAAACTTCGTATTTATATTTATTTTGTTTTAACATAGTTAAATCTGTATACTTACATTCCAAAAAAAAAAACATACAAGTATTATCATTTTTATTTTGTTCTTCATGTACATATATTACGATGAAAATATATGTATATATTTTGAAGATGTTTATCGACACTATATCAACACATTCCTTATAATATATTCTAGACTAACAAAAAGTATTAATATTTATTACAAAAAAATTATAAGTCTAAATCTGGTATAATCACTTAAGAATTTAAAATGTAAATTATTTATTTCCTTGAAAAAAACAAGAAAAGAAAAATAAACTAAATAACCACAGATTACTAATTTAAATCGTTTATGCAGTGAAAATTAAATCATAAGGATATCTTATTTTCAAGTTGTAGAAAATAATGATAGAGTGGGCAGGACATAGAACTAAATTAGTACTAATCTAACTAAATAGTGAATAGTGTTGTCATGATTGGCATTCGAATGTATGCCCAGAGACTTAATTGCCTTATGGGTTGACAGGTTATCGAACGGGTGTCATCCACCATATAAACATCATCTGCAAATATTTCATTTATCACCAGAAGCAACATCAAGGGTGAATGTATTCGAATCTGTGAGGTGCCTTTGATGACAATCCCATTCCTGTGCCATTGAATACAGATTACAAATACTTAATTTCAATGAAAATATCGCGACAAAAATACCAATGGCAGTAATATATATCCCTGCAGTTATATATTACATTCCAGCATGTTTAATAAATCCATTTTGAAAACAATAAATCAATATAAAATGCTGGACACTCCAATGTAGACCCTCAAGTCATTTATACACGAATCTCTCTTAGGGAGGGTTACATTTATAATTCGGGGTACGATGGTGTATAGGGGGTACGGGGTACGATGGCGTATAGATGAAATTCATTGGGTAGGAGCAAATTAAATAAGCAGTCTTGGACAGAGAGTTTTTTGTGTAGAGTCTCGGATGAAATGACCCGGTCCCCATGATCCCAAGATCGACAAGCCGAAATTAGTACCCGTAAATAAACAATCTGTAGGACCCTAGTTGTTTTTTAGTTTGTTATCAGGGTTCGCACGGTATTCGAACGAATATTTGTTTACCCTGAGTGCCGCAACAAGTTGTTAAGGCTTAACTGCCAAGTCCTTGCCATTGTAAGAGGCTTACACACTTGTCGGCCAATAAAAAAAAGTCCTACGTCGCGGGCAAGGGATAGCCAAAGCTCGACTGGAAAAATTTTGTCAGAAATCTCTAATCAATCAGGACCTTCAGGAGTACCTGAATGGTGAGAAATCCTTGCCAAAAGAAATATATGGAAGTTTGTAAGTCGGATTAAAAGAGAGTCCATAAAAAGGCTTCCAGAAAGTTACGCAACCTCCTCCGCAACAAAATCAAGGCGTTTCCACTGTAGAGGTATTTACAATCCCATTGTGAAAAGCAGCAGAGCTGCTAGAACAAACTACAAAATAAAATCGACAAGTTGCCTAACCCCAGAACCATGGTTATGAAAAATTCTGGTAAGCACCCAATTTGACGAACGTGATGCAGGAAGCAGCGTACCAAACCACCAACACAAACGCTTGGTGTGCAAAATGCGATCCCCCGGTAAGCAGCAACAAGCGGCACACACTCGTTTGAAGCACAGCAATCTGCTACGTATGATTCGGTTATATTGACTAAGACCCCCACTAAGAGTGGTAAGGAGAAATAATCGAAAACCAAACCCCACGTCTAGAAATAAAGATCCCAGAGAGCGTTGCTTTTATACCCTTCACCACACTGTGTGTAACAGGCAAAAGAAAACAAGATAGAAGGTTCCTTTTGAGAATATGCATAGAATCACTTTCTGAGTCGATTTATGCATGCCCGTCCGTCCATCCATGTGTTAAATTGTAAACAAAGTACCGGTCAGATTTATGATCCGAATTGGATGAAATTAGGCACAGCTCATATATTTGACCCAAAGACGAACCCTATTTAAATTGTGAAAAATCGGTTCAGATTTAGGCATAGCTCCTATATATATTTTCATTCGATTTAATGTAAATGGTGCACCAAAGTCCCTATATATCTTTCGATTTGCACAAAATTTGGTATAGCGTACTGAATTGAGTTTAAGATAATGTGTGCTAAGTTTCGTAAAATTCGGTTAAGATTTAGATATAGCTCTATAAATATTTTTGCCCGATTTTGTGTAAATTTTGTACCAAGGCCGCTATATTTGTTTGATTTGCACGAAATTTGGCATATCGTACTATATTGAGTATAGAATGATGTGTGTTAAGTTTCGTAAAAATCGGTTTAGATATAGCTCCCATACATATTTCTATCGCTATATTGTTCGATTTGTACGAAATTTGGCATAGCGTACGTGAAAATCGGCATATGTATGGATTGATGTAAGCCGGTTCACTTATAGATAAACATCACATATTTAAGTTCGTTCAATTTTATGTCAATTTTCCATCGAAAAGGCGACGTCTTTTAGGTTACATATGTAGAATATACCCAAAGTCGTGAAGGGTATGATATAGTCGGCCCAGTCCGATTTTTTTGATTTTTTCATGTTCTGTACAGTTGGGGCCTTCATGATTAAACAGAGAGTCTAAAATACACTTCTTAGGTAAATGAAATCCAAAAATATCTTTCGCCAAGTCATCTTTTACAACACCTAAAAAATAAATAAAACACATTGATGTTAGTTTTTCTTTCGCAAATTTACAATTAAATCTCAGGTTCACTTTATTATCGTTATTTAAAATTACATTTGTTGTTTGTGGCATATTTTCGTAAAAGATGCGTTTTCAAAAAAAGGAAAAGAAAACAACTTTCTTTTGTATATTTCTTTAAAATGATCTTAGTTGTTGTTGTTTTTTCTGTTTATTAATTAATACGTTTTACATTTTTAACACAAGTTATCTACGGTATTGGAATTTGTGACTGATTTTCAGTTTTGTTTTTATTTTTTTTTTCATTTTTATAATTCTAATTTGTTGTTCGCATTTGTGTGTGTCTGTTTTCAACGCAATTTAATTACAAACAATACAATTATTTTCTTTATTTCTTTATTATTTTCTAATTTAAATAAAGTGTGTGTAATTTTGTTCCATTACTTGCATTTATTTTTGCCATTCGCATTCGCTCGTCAGCAGAGTGAACGGATTATTAAATTACTCATTGATTATGAAGTTAATTTAATTGTCTTCAATACATACATATATATTTTTTTATTAATCACAATGTGTTGGTTGTTGTTATTATTTTATTTTTTATATACAAATTGTGTTTAAAAAACCATTTACAAATTTTTCAATTAACTAATTGATATGATAGGAATTTGCAACAAAAACCAAATAAATTAAATGAAAATTCATTTGATATGATATCGGGTAGTAATTAAATTTTAAAAAGTATGCAGTATAAATCTGGAATCCCCTGCGAGAAAGGACATGGCGATAAGCAATAAATTATTATAAACACGGTATGCTGGCAGCCATCAATATGGGAAACTAAAATACAATCTCCCATATGGAAATTCGGGTAAAATATTAATCCCACCATTTTCCGTCAATAGTACAGTTGGAAAAGTCTAAGTACGCTACGACTCCAAATGGAGTTTTAAAAGTGTATAATCTAGCCTTTATGCAAATAGTTTCAGATTGATTTTTGTTTAAGAATTTTTAAAATTTTTATTTCTCCTTTCATAGTCAAAAAATTGTAAACCATGAAACGTCACCTTACGAAGTAGGAATACCTGTCGATCACTGGATTTCCACTGTTACAGTACAAATATGTTTGCAAATTTGTTTGAAGGATGTGACTGGTGACCAGGACATGACATGACATTTAAAATAGCTTTAAAAAGGGTAATAAGAAAATAATAGCAATCTACGTATTAAAAAACCAAAAAAATAAAATAAACACAATACACAATTTATTTATCAGTAATACATTTGTTTCTTGTTTATTGATTTTTATTTATATTTTACAATTTTGCGGTTCTCATGTAATAATTATATTCTATTTATTTACAATTATAGAAATGAAGAAAATGTATTTAACTTAAATAAAACATATGGAGAAGAAAATAAATGGATGAAAAAAATAATGAGTGTATAATAACGACAGTTGTATTTCAATTCCAATCTAAAAGTTGTTTTTTAACCCTTTCAGTGTTTTTGTCGAATATATTCGACATTTAAAAGTACTCTCTTTCTTTGCGATTTTCGGTTATCCAATGTACCGTTGCTATTGATGTTTTTGTTTTTGCTGAAAGATAGACGAAATTGGTCGAGGGTTAAAATAATAATTGCTAATTTTTCTAAACTATGTCCCTTTATATGATTTTAAATACAAAATTTTAGAATTTTATTCCAACAAAATTTTTTTTTGACACTGAAAGGGTTAAAGGGTTAAGAATGCAATTATCTATACTAATCTACAATATATCTTCTAAAAAAGGGAAATAAAAAATCTAAATTAAAAAATGTTAGTAAAACTAATAAATTTAGCGAATGTGCTTCTCGAACAAGTACTCCGTTATCCAAAATTTAATTCCAATGTATTGCGTATAATTTTTTTGAAAAATAATATGAGTTTCTATATCAACATTTACTCAGGTCAGTGTAACAAAACATGGGGTGCAGCAGCGATTTTTTGGGCAATGATTACTAGAATTGAAATGAAAGTGATGTGAACACCTTTTGCCTTTCTCTTTTACATTTGCTCACAGAATATATCGAAAAGTATTCGGCAACACAAGCTATATTGTCACCTAAGCTTGCTTTTATTCTAGGACCATACCCTCAGTTATGTCAATGTTCCACACTGGTCTCTATAGGCCATCGAATAAGATGACATCCGTTGTCCTACGCTGTGATAGAAAAAAATTCAAAAAATCACGTCGTAATAATTTGATCATTGCGTCTCAAAATTTCCTTCAAATTTTGAAGTATTCAAGATTGTTATATAACAATCGAGTGTTAACGATCCCTTGAAGGCGGAAATTGAATTTCCTTAAATAAACTAACTATAATGGGTTCAGGTCAACTATGTAAATATAAAAAAGCAATTCCAGCAACTTCCGTCAGAAGGTGAAAGTAGCCAATTTCTAAAAGCCCTCTTAGGGCAAAACAACATACAAAGCCATTGGTCACATTCCGTCTTTATTTATACGGCCCAATCTGGAATTTTTTTCCATAATGACACATAGTTGAGATCCTTGCAAACTACTCAAAATTTCAGAAAAGAACTTTCACCAAAAGTGTATCTATTGCAACAACTACCATGATGATCTGAAGAGAGAACCTCTAGATCAAAAGGCCTATCGAACCTGATTGAATTGTATTCACACTGCAATACAGGGTGGATACAATCCTAGCAGTGGAAGCTGTCATCTCAATTCGCAATAAGCGCGAATTGATGATGTGGGGCAGAATATCGTTCCATATGTGTTAATGTTCCATATAACAACTCAATTGCCTAGCCAAGTCCATTCTCCTGACACCATCATGACTAGAGACAAATCGCAGCCTTTTTGAACATGGAGTTGGAAGCAAAACCAAATTAAATAGAGAAAAATTAACATAAGATCGGTGATTTCATATGTTGATAGACAAACGATCCTAAAGCTAACCAAGTCGCAGACTATAAATTTAAAGGCAGTTCACGAATGCAGATCATTTGTTCACGATATATGACATATTCTTAGAATAGCTGAATGAAATAGCTGACGAGCTTGCTCGAGGTGGAGCACAGTCGATCAATATCCTTGTTGATGCTCCTGTTAAACGATCTATTATCTACTGCATAGGCAGAATTGTTATTTCTAGACGCAGATATATATATCGTTGATTCCCTCGAAAGAGTACCATATGAAACAACTTTTGGGATATTAACAGGTCACTGTTGAATTAGATCTTTCACTTCCAATTGGAAAATCAATAAAGGTGGAAACGATCGACCATTTACAGTGAAGATATTCAGCAGAAGACAACGAATGTTTTGTCTACTTCTGCACAGATCCCATCATCATTTCTAGCTTTACTAAAAAATTGTCTTGGCTAAGTTATTAAACCTCACCTTAACCCGTTCCTCTTTTCAAGCTATATCATATATCATTTTTCTTTTTTATGATGAATACAATGGACAAATGGAATCCAAATGAAGCGACTGCTAATGTGGCTGCAGCGCATGTTTAACTTAACCTCTTTTATTGTTTTGTCTGTAAAAAAATCCAGGCTTATCCAAACCATGAGCTTTAATTATACATTGACTAACAACAAGTAATCATTTCAATATCTATATTTTCAAGTGGCTCTCCGTGTACTAAATATTTTTTAGGGAGATGCATTACCTCGAGCTCATGACTTCAGACTGTTTAATATTCCTATGAGTTTACATGGATATTTTTAAATAAAATAGAGATAATAGTAAGGTAATGACTTTTGAGATCCACTATTCATTTTTCTGGAAACACCCCTTTTTTGCACTTATTTTTTATACAATTTGCCAACATGCCAAATAACGAATAAAATCATTAATTAGGTTTTTCTCGTTAAAAAACAAAAACCAAATATATATTTTGTTTTCAATTTAAAAAATACACAAACAAATTCATTATCTTCATCTTTTTCTTTCTTATCTTCTTGGGGGGGTTTTCATCACAATACAATTTCACAATCTATGCATTTATATATTTATGTATAATATTCTATAGTACAATCTTTAATCTTCACGTTTCTTATTATTATTATTATTTCGATTTACAGAATAACAATAAAACATTGTATTTCTGCAGGGATTCTTATCCATATGTATAGCTCTTAATTTTCTAGTACTTGTTCTTATTACTCAGTTCGCTCTTATACTCTTATCTATCATTCGCAGAAAAAGATTTATCATTTTTTTTACATTATGCCAATTACAAAGATAAGTTTTTATATGGACATTTCTCTTCTCAGCATTTTATTTTCTGTTGTTCTTTTATTTTAGTTTAGTTAAATATATTTTCATTTTTGTTTGTTGTTATTATATTATTATTATCATTATTATTTTATGTACATACATATGCGCATTAGTATTTCTAGTGGTGTATAAAAATAAATAAAAACAAAAAATAAAGAAATCTACAATAAAAACACAAACTTACTTAACCAAACGGCCCACCGATCGACGCACTTCCGCCATCAACTATTTTAGTCCGGCCGATAAATTGGTGTTTTCGGTATAAATTCAATTGAAATAACATATTCCATCATTGAATTTGAATCACATTGTTGTTTGTGCAATCGCCAATGAAGACCGAGTTTATGATATAAATGACTATTCTCCCACTCGAGTAATTTATCCAATGTTATTTGGGTCTGAAAATGAAGAGGAGAGCAAAGCGCACAATTGTGAACAAATCAATTAAGGTGTCAAAAGGAAGAGTCAAATGTGATTCTATGTATGTACTTACTCGTTTACTGAGACATATCACCGGCCACAGTGAACAGCCTAGTGTACAACAACAACAAACACATCCACAAAATAACCACTTAACATTGACAGGTAAGGTTTTCTTTAGAATACTATTTATTCGACCAATTGTGGCTTTGAATTCTTCAGGTGCTACTCGTGACACCAGGCCAGAGGGAAATTCCGTATTAAATCGATTGCTCAAACCGAATCTGTAAATAAGAATTAGGAAAAAAAAAAACAGACGTTGAATATATAGAGAAACTGTAGTATAATTTTTTTACAGAAAAATATTAAAAAATCGTAGCTCTGAGAAAAAAGAAATTTGCAATCGGAGCGTGTATTTTTATTGTCGCTGGTGACGGGTTTCACCTCATTTTTGTGGAGATACGGTTCCTGGATGAGCGCGATGTCGGTATTTGAGGAAGGGAAGCAGTTCAGCAGCTGCTGCTCTACAGTGATGCAGATTTATCTGCACCACCTTTTAACGCTTTCTGCCGTCTGTATCTTGTTTTACTGGCGGGAGTCGGAATTGAAGTTTCCCCTTCCCATAAAAGCACTGTTCTCCAGGACAGCCGGTAGCGAACTTTGCTACAAGACCTTTCTTTTCGCAAAGACCATCGCGTTCTGCTTTTCCACCAACTTCCAGTCCCATAAAAGGTGGTGGTGGGAACGCTACGGCTGCCAGTGTACTACTTTCCCAAAAGGGTCACAGATGTTAATTGTCTTCTTTGTACGACAGTTAACAACTTTGACCCAAAGGAGATCTTTCAAATAGCTGTCGAATCCTCCGCAAATCCTCCGGTACCTCTGGTAGAACAGCGGTTTCTGGGCTTCCTGTTCGAGACGGTGGGTTCGTCTTTCACCACACCCTTACCACTCTTTTCAGGATTCTCCATCGACACTACCGGCGCGAACGAAACAGTATTTTGTGAATCCAACGACTGCGTGTGACTCTTAGCAGAGACTCTTCACAGCCGTGGGCTTCGTTCGAGATTTGGCTCCCGGAGTGGCAACTGCCGCAGAGGTTGACCCAGCTGACGATTGTTCGCTACCGCAGAGGTTGACCCAGCTGACGATTCGTGTTCGCTACCATTGGTTTATCCACCAACAACTGCCCTATTGTCATAACCTTGTATTTCGGTTTTGACATTTCGGCAGAACGTGGATTGCAGAGGGAGTTTGTGCCTTAAGTTTTCCTGGAGGCCTTCTTACCGACTCTCCTTCGGGCTGACTTCGACAGCCCCTTGCCCTCAGTTTAAGTGGAAGATGGTGTCAGGGATTTCTCAGCACTCAGTTTTCCCTTGGGGGGTAATAAAGCCTCAGACGTCCCAGCCACCAACGTCCTAGTGGTGCTCGGGCCACTCACAGTATTCTCCTCTTTTGGAGGCGCTACCGTTGTGGACTTCGCACGTGGTGTAGGAATCCTATAAATTAAGAAGGAATCCAGTATCATTCGAATAGTTCCTCGAGAACTTCCGAATGAATTTGAGGTTCCTCTTAATTAGAAGGTTTTCCTTATCGGCTATCGAGCCTCTGTCCCGTCCGATAAACCGGTTGCAGTAGTTAACCGGTTGCAGTAGTTAACAGTAGTTAACAGCTGACGATTGTTCGCTACCGCAGAGGTTGACCCAGCTGACGATTCGTGTTCGCTACCATTGGTTTATCCACCAACAACTGCCCTATTGTCATAACCTTGTATTTCGGTTTCGACATTTCGGCAGAACGTGGATTGCAGAGGGAGTTTGTGCCTTAAGCTTTCCTGGAGGCCTTTTTACAGACTCTCCTTCGGGCTGACTTTGACAGCCCTTGCCCTCAGTTTAAGTGGAAGATGGTGTCAGGGATTTCTCAGTACTCAGTTTTCCCTTGGGGGGTGCTAAAGGCTCAGACGTCCCAGCCACCAACGTCCTAGTGGTGCTCGGGCCACTCACAGTATTCTCCTCTTTTGGAGGCGTTACCGTTGTGGACTTCGCACGTGGTGTAGGAATCCTATAAATTAAGAAGGAATCCTGTATCATTCGAATAGTTCCTCGAGAACTTCCGAATTAATTTGAGGTTCCTCTTAATTAGAAGGTATTCCTTATCAGCTATCGAGCCTCTGTCCCGTCCGATAAACCGGTTGCAGTAGTTAACCGATCGGTAATTCTTGTTCCCGGTACGATGGGAAGCTCATCAGGCCGTCTCCACTTCGAAAGCCAGCTGCCTAAGTAGTCTCGAGACCGTGACCGTAATTCCGGCCGTGGAGATGGAATTAGGATCCTTTTTTTCGCAAGGGTTCTGAGAGGAATAACCTTGATTCGGAGTAGTCAGCAGGATAGGTACTGTATTTGTCACTATAGTGCTAATCGCAGTAATTTCCATTACGTCTTCCTCGTCTGTCAAGGGTGAGTCGTCCCAGAGTTGATTCGGGATGCTCGCATGACTAAGGCGGAAGGAGACGGTTCCCTCTATAAGATTGAGGAAACGATCCGTCAGCCTCTCCAGGTTTTCGTCGTCGATAGTGACGGGGGTTTAAGTAAAAGAGTGGTCCAGTAGAATAGCCTGAGTCGTCAACATTTGTAAGGGTTGATTAAAATATTACCTTGTAGAGGTCGAGTTCGAAATCGCATACATTGTTTTTAACAATTTTGGAAAAAAAAATTGAAGAAAATTCGGCTCCATAGAAAAAGATTTTTGTGAGGATTTGAGGTCGGCCATGGCATAGCCTCTTATCATGGTAAGGACTCGGCAGCTAAGCCTGAAGAAGCTTGTTGAGGCGCTCCAGTAACAACAAGACTCCATTCGAATCCAGTCGGGACCCTGACAGCAAACCGTAGAATACTGGTGGACACGAAGTCGCTTGACACCCCAGCGTTAGGGAGGTCACTTTGGAAGGTAATGACCTAAGACCTTTAAGATGGATATTATTTATTCGAAATCTCTGAATATGACTTCACATGTATCTCTTTAATCATACACCATCACTGCCCTAGATCTTCCCATTTAATTTCTCTTGATCAAAGTTTGTTTTTTTTTATACCGATCAAAACAATTTTAAAATATGACATTCTTTGTGGGTATTTGTAGCTTAGTTGCGCAGCAGTGACAACAATCCCAATTAAATGCACAAAATTTAATGAGGCTCATCATATATTTTGTTCTGTTTTGTTTCCCGTTTACAGATTAAATTGAACTGTAAAGTAAAGAAATATCATGGTTGACGTCATGGGAATACGCATTTTACGAAAGTTATGTTTGCGTTACAAGTTATGTTTGCTATATACAAATATATTTAGTTGGGATGGGCAAAATATTATATGCATACGATATGTATTATAATTAATCTACAAAATATAGGTACATTAACCTTCTGAAACACTCAATTAAATGATGTATAATTTAAATCAATATAAAATCATGCAAATGCTGCATCTAAACGATTTCGAAATTTGGTCATTTAAAATGTATTGGTGCCACTATCAAGTTCCATCCAGAATAATACTATTGTTGTTGTAAATTCCACAAAGACTGAATTACTTTTCAACAACAATTATAAAAATCACTTAACTTGGTTTGAATGGAGATTCATTTCAACTCTCCAAGTAGAAACTGGGAATGTGGAACCTTAAAGTCCATCAGGTCGGATTTTCCACGACGTAGATTTATCTTATTGTTATCGAGGAAAAAGAAATGGCTTAAAATTACTATAAAGACCTTAAAAGATCATTACTTCCATCTGGGATGTCTATGAAGAGAATTATTGCCGTCTACTTGAGAATGAGATAGAGTGGAAACGATCATATATCTACTCTGAATATGTCAAAGTCACCAATTGTGGCGAATATTCGACAATGATAATCTGGCATTCCTTTCTGGGAGAGATCCCAAAGTAATTCATAGCTTTGCAAAAGACTTTCGAGACTAAGTAATGAAGACGAACAAAATGTACTAAATACTTCCGAGTGAAAAAACTACATAACCGGATGTTCTTCCTATAACCTAACATATCTTGGCAGTATACATGATCAAGGATTGTAAAGGAAAGTGCAACGGGAAATTATATAGGAAAGTGCAACGGGAAATTATCGTCACTTTATTCGGGTCAATAACACATTATATTGCTGGTTTCCCTATGGAGTTGATCGACGCTCGAAATTTGGACGCATCCCGTTGCAATTCGAAGTGAATTTAGTTGTGATGTTTGCAAGGATTTCCAGTGCGTGCCGCTAAGGACGGAGACCAGACTGGGGTTGCATAATTATGGATGAAACGACCGATAGCCTTGTATGTCGTTTCCAACGTTACCTTATTTTGCCCCAGAATGTGCCTGCCAGAACCTTTATAATTTTGATCGTAGCTTTCACCTTCTGGTCGAGTGTAATGACTCTCAGAGAACTAGGGATATGGGGGACTCACACTTTAGAAATGTCTTAGGGATGACTATAAATTCGAGAAAAAAAACAAAATAAATGAAATAGATCTGAGAGCTGAAATAGATGTGTGACATTTCAATTAAGGCTACTACATCTTCAGAAATCATAAAACCTGATACGAAAAGACGAACTACTTTGCAGGTTATCAATGATCCATGGGTCTTGGAAAAGCTTATAATTTTCCGTTTTTGGCGGATCCCTTCACCAAACCTACTAAAGTCACATACTCAAGCAGAGATACTAACTACAAGGGAAGCTTAATGGAAGCGTCGATCACCTCAATGAGGAGACCAGGATTCTGTCAGTTAAGAAACATAATACGTTGTTGACTAGAAAAGCTCCTGCTGGCATGCTATCTGCCGTGTCATCCTAACCATAACACAGGCAGATCCACCTCCACGACACATCCGCCAGGACTTCAGACGCACAATTTCTCCGGCTACCCTCTTCAAATTTCTTAATAATTAATTAATATATTTTCCATTTCCTTATTAAGTTTTATTTTTTCTATCAATATTTTCAGGAAAGGACTTTCATCAACAGCCAAACTGTTACAACAACAAAGGAAGCTCCTATAGCTACAAAGAAATAATCTGTAGGAATTAGGGGGTTTTGACAGAATGCATTTGTAGTTCTACAACCCTGCGGACCAGAAAGGCGAAAAGTCAATCATGAACTGTTGATGTGGTTTTACAAAACAGTCATGGGTTTAAAATACCCATGGTTGAACTTAACGTTAGTTGTTTTTAGCTTTAACCTCTCGACAATATATGATATATATTACCACAGTTCGTCAGGATAAATTTATACAAAAAAAGTCCAACTAGTTGCATTAAGCACTTGGGCATTCCGTTTGATTTACTGCGTTGTGACCCAATAATTAAAACTTAACCCCCTAGGCATCGAGAAAAACAAATTGTGAAATAAAATTACCCAAACAACACAATTTCAAAAAATAAAATACTTACACTGTCATATTACCAGCACCCCGTATAATAATAGGATCTGGTACTGGTGCCACTGTTTGATCTTCATAGTGCTCCTCTAATTGATCCTCCTCATATATTGCATCAAAGTCCGCCATTGACATTGGAATATTCTTTGTTGTTTTGTTTTCTTGCTATAGTGGAGAAAGGATATCTGCCCCGCTCACTCACTGCCAAAGTGAACGAAACGAAACGATAATGTTGATAATAGTCACGATGGCGATGATGATTACGATGATGGATGTATGGTTGGTTGGCCGTGTTGTTGAAACAACACTACTGGTGGTGATGATGACGAGAACGACGACAGCAGTACGTCAAACGTCAGCACAAAGGAAATAAAGGTAATATGATAGCCAGCAACAACAATAGCAATGCAGGTTCTTTTTTTACAAATTTTCACTGAATGAAGGACGAAGTTATGGAAGTAGCAGCAGTAGTATTGGTTGGTAATGTGGTAAGGCTAACTACTGTGATGTGCTGTCAACGGCGTTGCTGCTGCCACCGCTGCTATTGTTGCTCTGCACACTGGCTGGCTGGATAGCTGGCTGGATAGCTGGCTGGTTGTTCTTGTTGCTCTCAGCTGAACAAGTGGAATTAGTTGGTGTGCCAACAAAACGGATATTACAATAATAGTGCAGTGCACACACACTCAGAAACACTCAACTTATACAGTTATTGTAAAATAGATTCATTCATTCGTTCACTTATTTATTATCACACTTGAAGCTGAATTTAGTTGTTATTGTAATTGTTTGTTTAGGAAATCCTATATGAAAAAAATTAAACAAAATAAGGAATACTGGTGGTGGCAAGGGAAGGCTATATTTTGTAATACGTTTTGAGTTACACGATGACGTTTGGTTCAGTTTAGTCCAGCTGGATGTTGTTATTGTTGTTTTGTGCTAATAAGTTAAGGCAATACTTGATTATGCATTTTCCATCATTACAAAATGTAATGAAGAAACTGCATGGTTTTCGTTCGTTTGCTCGTTTATTTTTTGTTGCTGTTACTGCTGATGATGGTGTTGTTGTTGCTGTGTAGTTGTTGTTTCTATTGTCGTTATTAAACTTTTATAAAAATGGCTGTGGGTAACAACAACAGCAACGACGACGACATTGCAGTGCTACTATATGCACACAAACACGTACTTTAGACATAGGGGCGCATAAATGAACAATTTTCTTTATTTAGAAAAGATGAACGAGGTCGATACGTCGTCGTTTGTGGTTGACTGACAGACTAGCAGCCTGTCCGCCGTCTGCTTGCCTGCCTGTTTGACTGTTGCTGACTACTGCTGAGGTTTAACAAATTCAATAATACACGAGGAGCAGCAGGAGAAATGGACTTCCAATTGCACACTTGCTTGGTGATGATGTCGTAGTTTTTTCTATTTTTCTGCTGTTGTATTCTTTCCAAAGTGTTTTCCTTATTTTATTTTATATTAGTTTTTATTAGCACCTTTTTCTATTTTTTGTTTACCGAAACCAAAAACACCAACAAAAGTACATAATCAATTTTTCATATGTGATTTATTTGTGTTTATATTTTAGAGAAGTTGTTGGGGCTTGAGATAATTTGCTTTGCTGCTGCTGTTGTGTTTTTCTACTGGGGGGAACAGAAAAAAAACATATCAAATAAATTTGACATATAACAGCTGTTCCACAATTGTGGTAGACTGAGAGAGGGTGCTAGTGTGTGTGTGTGTGTGTGAAAAATGAAAGTGCAAGAGGATGAGAAAGAGAGAGGAAATTAATGCGAAACAAGTGTTATACACTATTGTGAATGGTCATATCAGCATGTTGCAATTCACAGCAAACATCTAAGATACTTAAATTAATTCTATCGGCGTCAGAAATATGATATTTCACATTATTTCTCAATAAAATTTCTATTGGAATAAACTCAATAGAATTTTAAATGCTTGGTTAGGGATGTGGAAGGACATAAAGTCAGAAATTCATTTTGAGACTTATGGCCGATGGGCCAGTTTGTTCTTTCCGAACAGAACTAGTTCAACGGAACTATTCTGCAAAAAGACCAATCGGTACTAGGTCCGATTCTTTCGTTCATCTAGTTCCTTTTGATACAAACGTTCAGAGAAATCTTCTGGTTTTTTGGCAGTATTAACTAATGGGACTGCTGTGAAGCGAATCGCTTGAGGCTACCAGGCTAAATTGTCATTAGGAATGCAAAGTAAATGTGTTTTATGCATAACTTAATGTGCATAAGGCTCAATCCAATTTATTAACATTATAGATGGGTTTCAATCATCTAAATACCCTTAGGTAAAAGAGCATACGAATACTATAGTGACTGACATTTGGAAGGTTAGAAGGCCTAATACTTACAAATTTTTGGACCGAGTCTGGATGTCTAGTAATGGACAGAAGAAAATTTTGACTATTTGAATTTTTTACCAAAGGTAGCCCTTCTGATGCTGATTACAACAACATACATTTTTTCGGGGGAAATCAGTACTTACCTAGATATGGGGCTCCAAAGTTCCAAAATTACCCCCACATTTTATTAAATAGCTCTAAGAATACTACTCCGAAATGTTTGAAATTTTTACTGCAGATAATCCATTAGGTGCTGATCGCAATCACATAATCATAATTTCGGAAATATGGGGTATCATAGCTGTTTTTCACACGATTTTTTATTAAATATCTGGTAAAAATATTTTGTTATTATTGTATATTTTTAATGAATATTTAATTGTATTTCTTAATGTGCCAATCTGATACAGTTACGGAGTTATTCATATATTTCCGGAAGTTCGAAGTTTTTCCCAATCAAATTAAAAAGTTTGTCATCGGTATCAAAAGGACAATCTGTAGTCAGAATTTCAAACGTTTCGGATTGGTATTCTTAAAGGTATTTAATTAAAATTGAGATATTCTTGGACCTTGGAACGCCATATCTCGGGAAGTACTAATTTCCGCCCGAGAAAATGTGTGTTGTTGTAATCAGCAGATGGGCTACGCATGATATAAATTTCAAAATAATCTGAGAGGTGTCCGTAAAGTGCATTTAAGACGAATCCGCAATTATAACGATATATTTTTTCTGGATGTCCATACTTCTTGTAATATTGGCCTCCTAATTTGTTGGGTCTAATTTATCAATAAAAATTGAAATACATATTGTCTTAAAAATACAAGCGTCCCAGCGATTTTTTTTATTAATTTATACCAGCCGAACTACGTATGTTACGTATGTTGAAAATTTTAAAACGATTCATCACCGTGCCCTAATCTATACATGTTCCGTACATGTCCTTATGGGCACATCTCTGAAAATGGTTAGCCCATTGAGGCAAAAAAATAAATAAAATATAATTATTGTTCCAATAAAGATTTTATGAACGGATTTCGACAGCCAAATAATCAAATAGCTATAATATTTGGACTACGAACAGATTTCACTTGTAAACAGAGCAACTCGACGTTATAGCACTTCAACGGCGGCGTGAATTACTTTTCAAAACAATCGACTTAGTTATCTCCACCTCTCTCTTTTCTCTCCCTCTCTCTTTCAATTGGTAACACTTCTTTCTTATTTCCACTCTCTCTCATTATTTTTTATCTACTTTGCCCTTTTTGTTATTTTCTTGTAACTTTTGTTTTGAGGTCTCACACAAATATCCACCGCACACACACACTGCAATTGTTTGTAGTTGTGTCAAAAATTGGTTACATGTGTTGCGTAAATATAAATCTCGTCGTTTTCTTTCAGATTGTTGTTTAGCTACTTTTACATTTTCTTCTTTCAATCAAATTTACTTCTAAACGACATCATTTTTCACTTTTTTAACAAATTCAATTGATTTTCGAGAACCTCACTTGTATTTTTTAACAACTATATCGCCCGTTTGACAACAATTATTTTTGTGTAAATCGACAAAGACAAACAATCGGTAAGACTTGACAAGACTCATTTTCCAATATTAGTGTCAAATTTGTGCTATAGAGGGCTACAAATTTGACTGGAAATGCACTTCTCTCTCACGAGAAAATACTTAACAGCAATGTTAATTATTTTGAAAAATATGGTTACCAAAGTGAAGTTTGAGATTGTATGAAATTATTAATATTATTTTTTGTTTTGCTTGCTTTAAATGAGAAAAAGTGGATTTAAGTGGAACGAATGCGCGAAGTGGACAAACGGAACTACTTCGAGGTGGTTCATTTATCAAGATCCTTTAGTTGACAAATTGAACATAGCGAAATATGGATATTTCATTTTGAACAAGGGAGATTTAATAAAGTAACAGCATCAGCCCAACTTTTGGTACATGGTACAATATTTGAGTCAAGTTCGATATGAATTTTTTGATTTATGTAGAACGTCCCAGTGGAAAAATTTTGTACACATTATATTTGAAATAAGAGATACGATAATACAATTTGAGATTTACAATATTTAGTGAACCAGGAAAAATGAAATGTTTGACATTTAATTTTTCTATATTGCTAAATTTGCAGACGATGGCGGAACTACTCTATTTTAAGTAGATAGGTAGGTATTTTTACCCTAATTATGGGGATATCTTTTTTTCTTGAGGGACGTACTTGGTTATATGACCCGGAAAATCGGGTACGGGTGCCCGGTTCTATGGATCCGGTTAATATAAAATGGGTATCGTTTCAAAGGTTATAAAAACATTGTTTTTTAGGGTCCTAAGGCCCACATTGTTTTTTAGGGTCCTAAGGTCCATATGTTTTGATCCACAACAGATACTGCCACATATCGCACCATTTTGGAAAGGGCAAATTGTGGTCTATAAATTGAGTCAGATTTGGAGAAGGACTATAATGGACCCAAGTTCGACTTTTAGGGGTTTTTTCAATAAAATCGGCGTCCAAAACTAGTTTTTTGACTGTATCTTAAACGGATTGAGATAACCCCATTTCACCACTCCCAGCACACGTGGGAGGACAATATCCAAGGTGTACAACTTTCTAAGTGCAAAGTAAAACGGCATGTACATTAGAAGTTTTTTACTGGGTTTAACAACTTTATGAAGATTTATTTCACATATGTGCAATGTAATTGACAACCTAAACCCACTGGATTAATTACTATATATTAATATAAACCCAAACAATTCAACTTAAACTTAAACTTAAAACTTACAGCCTGTTTTTGTAATTTGTTCCCGCAGTCACACGTATCGTTCGTATTAAAACGTATACGTCGAAAATTTGGTTTTTGTAATAATTGTAAAAGCTTTCGTCTAGAAACGATTGAGCTTTTTCATTCGTTTTTAACCATTAGTGCCAAAGTGTTTCTTTTGGTATCATGTTGCAAATTTTCCAATAGAATTATTGCAAAATGAGGGTAACTCTGTTTATTGTTTACAAACAGTTTTTTTTACATAAAAAGTGTCGAAATAGAAAATTCAAAATGTTTGGTACGATTGCAATTAATTGTAATTAAAAAGAAAAGCAAAATATTCCCCAAAGGAGAATACCTATGGCATTTAATGATACTGCTACATTATTCCACTTGTTATCCACTTCAAATTTATTGGATCCGAAAACAGGACGGCCAGTTGCTAGTTGTGGGTAAAGTTCCATGAGATCAACCAATTTTTGGAATTGGGCAATCGTTGTCCTTTTGTTGCTAGGGGTTCAAACAATTCAATATAATTTTTTACATTTCATAGGGATATATAATTTTTTACAAACCATTTCTTATATATTTCATCAGAATTTTCCATATTTGTTACGTTCTTTTCACTAACAACACACAAATTGTAATGAACAAATAGTTTTCTTTATTATTTTTTTTTAAACGAATGGTATTTTCTCTTCGTTTGTTTTTGACATTTTTGTTCGTAAATAACGCACCGTTTTGTATAACAAAAACCAAAAAATACGAATACCAAAAGCTCTTTCCTATTTCTCACTCACTACAACCGGTAATTTGTTTGCGAAAACCAAAATGAGTAATCGTTCGTTTTTTCGACGAACGAATGGACATTTTACATTTACAAAAACAGGCTGTTAGAACTTTTTACCGGGTTAACCTGCTTTATGAGGATTTATTTGACATATGTGCAAAGGAATTGGCAATTGAAACCCACTGGGTTAACGAAATCCGGTTAAATGTAAACGTACTATTACTTAGAACATCTAGAATATTATTATGGATGGAAATAGAAATTGAATCATTGGGCATATTTCCGAAATATATTGCTTTAGTTTTGGTCGAATTAATACTTAAGCAATTAACAAACATCCAATCTACCAACATACTAAAGGGCTAAGCAGAATGTTCGCGTTGAGCGTTTTTTATTATCCCGTTAACACACGCAAAAATTTAAAATATATTTAAAGGGCTTATATACAACAACCACAAGGAAACGATTACACAAACGCATATCGTTTCCTTGTGGTTGTTGTATTTTGGATAACATATAACGCGACGGATGGCTCAACGCGAGCATTCTGCTTAGCCCTTAACTCCGAAGCGCAGCGCACATCAACTTCGAGCGTTTGTGTTATCATTTCCTTGTGGTTGTTGTATTTCCGATAACATATAACGCGACGGATGGCTCAACGCGAGCATTCTGCTTAGCCCTTAACAGTAAAGTTTATAGTATTCTGCATAACATCAAAAAACACTAAATCACCCATAAACAGAAGTTGTACATCATCAGGAAACGCAAAAGCTAAGGAATTACTACAACGAAACAGGTCATTAATATATATTATGAATAACAAGGGACCAAGGACTGAAACTTGTGCCATCCCACTACTCACAGACAAAACACTAGACCTACGACCTTTACTACTAAAATATAACTGAATACTGTCAAATGCAAATTTATAGCTGTGTTCCCAAACCTGCAATATAGTACTATATTGTACTAGTTTTGCAATTGTTGCTAGAAAAGCGCTTCCTTACGCCGAAAAGTAGGAAAAGTTGAAGTTAAATTTAAGAGAGTTAAATTATGAATTTGACATTTGATTGCCAGAGATATACAGTCCGAAATAAAGCATATGAAAGTCAGGGCTTCAACAAAAGGGACACACGCACAGACGCACACACATTTGCTTTAAAAAAAAAAAAAAACAAATAAGAAATTTAAAAATGGACAAACAGTTTTTTTATTGTCTTTTGAATGAAGATGAATGGCTGGCAGAAGATTCAGATGAAGATACTATAGAATGAAGACTTTTGTTGGTCAATCGTACCAAAATATCCAAAATATCTTGGGCTTAAGACAAGTTTAGGGGCTCCACTTGGATCGCTTTCACGTTTTTACAGTAAGTAGTCCTCGGTGAACTGATTACAGTGATATGGGGAGAAATGCATACTTTGTTGTATGTTGTTTTAATTAGCCGTATCATTTTAAAGGTTATGGTTTGTGTTATATAACTAGATGAAGAATATATTGCGTAGCCATGTATAAGCCTGTTCATATGTGAATGTCTTATTCTTAAGTTCTCTAAAAAATACCCGGTATAACCTTTTAATGATACTCATATTGCCTTGGTGGCATTAGAAAAAGGTTTGTTTTAAACAAAATATGTTCCGAAATTTCAAGGCCAATATCTCGGGAAGTATATATTTTCCCATATGAAATGTATGTGACTGTAATCCGCACAAGGATTACTTGACTTGTTCCATATCTTGTTGTTCTAGTTCGCAAAATATCTACCAATTTCAATAGCATTAACATTATGGGAGCGTCCAGCCATGTAAGCCTTTCCGGGCTCGGAGTCGTCGGAAACTCCACTTCTAAATATTCGATAAGGCTTTCCTCTAAATTATACAAATAAAAAAATAAACAAAAAACATTTATATTATAAAAATCACTCAATGGACGCCGTTTAACTTTTTGTTTTTTGTGCATTAGGTTTCTGTAGTCTTTTTTTGTCCTTAATAAATGAAATTTTTGATTTTGACGTTTCTTCATGTTTTAACTATTTTTCGTTCCTTTACTTTTTGCGCAAATCTTGTATGTGAGATTAATTTTTGATAGTTCGCTCTTTTATTAGCTTTATTATCAAAAAGTACGGGAACGAACCTTATGAAAGACATGACTGCACGAGGATACCTTGTATCAAAACAAAACCCTTTGTTTTCGTTTCGACCATCTGCCAAATTTTTCCTTACAATATTTCACATGGTTGGCAACATTGCACATCGAATTCAAGTAGAAATTACCCACTTCTTTTGGATTATCGAGGCATCAGCTGCGCTAAATGGACTACCTATTCATTGTGCCATGATACATATGTTCATCAATTTTGACGCCGCCCGGATATGGTGGTCATTTAAGTATATTACGCTTCCAATAGGAACATTCATAACGTCGGCAAGACACAATGACCAACGACGTCTCTGATAATAGGTCATAGTGCAGTCTCTAACATACACCGAGTTAAACTGATTTGCCCTTTGAAATGTAACAGCGATGGTTAATGTCAATAGGATGTAGTCCAATGCCACAAAATTCTGCTATATTTGAAATAGTTTATTTGCTATCTTCGAATAGTTTAATCCTATTGAGACGCCTCCTTAAAATATCATTTTCAATTTCCGCTGCTTGCAGTTCCATTTCAATTCTCTTCACATCGACATTGCAAACTTGAAGTACATCTTTCATCTGTTGAACGCTATTATCTACATCTGCACTATTGTTTTAATCAATGCAAATAACGACTTGAGACCCAATCTCTTCACTGTTCGCATCATCAACATCTCCAGTATTGCTACTACTATTAGCAATTTACAATTCTTATTGATACAAGGAGGATATTTACAAAAATACATCATGATCCTTCTGTTTTTATACAGAACCAAATATACATAAATATTAACAAATAACAATTATTTATTGTTATTTTTAAAATTTCCCGGGAGCGAAATTTATTTTCAATACTTTGTATTAGGGTTCTATAGGTCAACGTTTTTTATCTGTGTATAGATCATTTATTTGGCTCAAATTTTATTCTTGATAAACGCAGTATAAAATCTAATAGGAACATTTGAATTTTGACTTCTTTTGGATTGTCGGTCACGTAAAATCCGGCTACACCAGCCTTGTGAAGCGTCAACTGTTGATCTTTAACTTTTTGATCTAGTAAGGCAATCAGCTTCATATCGGTCTCCTTCATTTTTTTCGTGTGTTTTATTTTCATCAATTGGAGAATGTGTTGGAGTTCCTCTTGGTCAGTGATTTTTGATATCCATTCCTGAACTTCGATTTCGTATTCATTTTGAACTTGTTCTCGTAATTGGTACAAATGTTTCTCAGTCACGTGTTGTATCTCCATTAATCCTTTTACGATTTCAAATATAGTATCGTTTAGCAGGGAGTTGGCCAATTCCGTGAGTAATTCATATGAAATCCTCGATTGGTATATTTCTGGCAATTGGTTCTGCATTGTCTTCAATTTGTCTACGAGGAAATATAATTTTCTTTGTAAAAATTCTGGCGAGAGTTCACCAGGAATCGTTTCCTCACCACACGATGAAGATATGCTGTCCATTTCGCTGTTTTCCTAGTCCATAATTTTGTGTACAAGCTGTTTGCCTTGTTTGCTAGTTCAATTCGATTCACCGACTGAACTGTATTGGATCACACCATGGCACAATGAATAGGTAGTCCATTTAGCGCAGCTGATGTCTTGATTAACTGTCAAAGTGGGTTATTACTACATGATGCAATAATAAGGTGATGTATCACAACAAAAACCTTTGTTTTTGTCTGGCAACACGGCACATCGAATTCAAGTAGAAATTACCCACTTTGACAGTTAATCAAGACATCAGCTGCGCTAAATGGACTACCTATTCATTGTGCCATGAATTACTACTTGAATTCGATGTGCAGTGTTGCCAACCATTTTAAATATTGTATGGAAAATTTTGACAGATTTGCATCATGGATCACACTATCCACTGTAAAATGATTACTATTCATTGTAAATACAGAGCATTCCCTCTACGAAAAATAAACGTAACGCATTTTGCGAAGCGAAAACAAACCGCATACGGACCGCCATTTCACTAACAGATGCATACTTTTTCATATAAAAATAAGACGAAATTAATTCAGTGTAAAAGGCTTCGCAAATATGCAGTTTTTACGGTACAGAAGCGAAGTGATTTTGCGTAATGGAATTGAACTAATTTTAGTTTAAAGTAAAAAACATGCATGTGCCGAGAAATTGAAGAGCTTAAGGCTATTTGCACCAGTAACGGTGCAAACACTAGGTCTAATTTTTCCTTAAAATTCCACGATCTACCGCAGTCTTTTCTAGCATTGGAGGAACAAGTCAAGACAGAAGACTGTAAAAATGCTTTGGTATGAAATAGGGAATTGCCTTTCCTTGGTTTGGGTACTACACCTGTCCATGCGCTAACAATAATGAATATAATAAAAGGAAGGCATTTCTAAATTTGACATGGAATTGCTGATCATCACGTCACATTAATTTTTTAACCTTTTGAGCCCCGAATTTTCTTCCGCAATATTAGAACAAATTCCTGTTCACAAATTTAATACAACTATCCTAAATAGGATATGCACAAAATTTGACAACGCTACATCTTCGCATTCGGGAGATACAGTACAATCTTTCGGAAAAATCTAAGCCCAATATCAGGAAAACCAAATACAAAATCGACAGAAAAATCATTTTAACCCTTTGAGCCCCGAATTTTTTTCCGTAGTCATAGAACAATTTTCTGTTCACAGATTTAATGCATCTATCCTAGATAGGATATGGACAAAATTTGAGATCGCTACATCCTTGCATTCGGTAGATACAGTACATTCTTTCTGAAAAATGAAAGCCCAATATCAAGAAAACCAAATAAAAAATCGACGAAAAAATCATTTTAAATTATTCTCTATATTCATATTTACAAGAATCAAAAATAATTTTGATGACAGAATTTGTACATTTCGAATGCGAAGCGATTTAAATAATTTGGACTGTATACACAAATTAGTACTGTACACATTTTTGCTCTCTTCTCTACATTGAAAAGCTCATAACTTTACCAAAAATTTGAATTTTTTTGATTTTTCTTTTGATTCGTGTCGTCGATAATCAGTTCTTGACGTATGAAATACAAAGAATATATATATACTAGCTACATATGAAATATTAGCTCTAAAACATTTTGTTGCCTGTGGGCAACATTGGGCCACAAAGGGTTAAATTATTCTCTATATTCATTTTTACAAGAATCAAAAATAATACTAATTGTACGAGTTAAATTTGTATACGAAGCGATTTATATAATTTGGACGGTATACACGAATTAGTACTGTACACAAATTTACCCTCTTCTCTATATTAAAAAGCTCATAACTATACCAAAATTTTGAATTTTTTGATTTTTCTTTTGATTTGTGTCGACCATAATCAGGTCTTGACATATAAAATCTAAATAATATATATTTACTAGCTACATATTAAATATAAGCTATAAAACATTTTCTTGCCTGTGAGCACCATTGGGCCACAAAGGGTTAATAAAGAATGTACCATGGCCAAATTTTCAAACGCGAGGATAACCGATTTGTTTTTTTTTTTGCTGTCGTCAAAAATTGGTCCAGTGCACTGGCAGCGGAAAATGGCTTGGTTTCCCTGCCTTGGGAATGTAAATAACCTTTACCTCGTTCCATAGATCCGGAACATACGAGAGAGTCAAACACGCAGTATAGATCCTGCCAAGGAGCAGATATATACTTCGCGAGGCATATTGAAGCATCGCCGGTAGAGTTCCATCTGGTCCTGGCGATTTATACGGTTTGAATGTGTTGACCGCCCATCGTATCTTATTTCTGTTAACCACCTTGTCAATGAGATCCAGATCAGGAGTGGTAAAAGGCTGAGTGTCATCTCGTTCACCATCTATGGTACCCATGTCTTTGCAACCTGGGAAATGAGTCTCAGCTAGGAGATTTAGAGTCTCAGAACCTGAGACCGTCCACGCTCCATCCTGCTTCTTGATACTACCGATGGACTTTGGGTCCTTGGATAGTAGTTTTCGAAACCTAGCAGTGTCGCTGACTCCTTCTATCGACTCACAGAAATTTACCTATGACATTTTCTTCGCGCGTTTTATCTCACTCTTGTATTTGTTGAAACAAGCTCTTTAGGAGTTCCAATCAGTGCCGAGTTTAGACTTATGCGCCCTGTTATACAGTCGTCTGGCCGCTTTCCTGAGCCCACCAAGTTCCTTGTTCCACCACACTGGCTGAGATTTCTTCCCAGGGTATGTGAGCGGACAGGATTCCTTATGGCATCTAAGGAGAACGTCCGTTAGATTTTTCACGGCCCCATTGAGTTCCACAGCTGTTCCTAAGTTTGTATAAAGAGTCAGCTGGGAGTTCGTTAGCTCAGTGAATTTCCCCCAGTTTGTTCTCCTTGGATTCCGATAAGGCTGTTGTTTACCTCCGTCAAAAGAGAACATTCATCAGATACCTTCCAATTTCTGATGTCAAAGTTGGGATTCCTTAGTCCAAAAACAGGTGAGGGTTGCGGACCTTCTGAAGAGCGGATGCGCTTCACAGATTTATTCTGTGGGGCGACATATGTTCCCCCAGGAAGCGATGGTTCCTTGACTGACTTCCCCTTCTTCCTTTTACCTCACCTCTGTCGTTAGGCGCAGAATCGTGCTTTGAGACGAAGCCCTCCACATGCTGATCACCCTTATGGGTGACATTTTGCTTTGGGATACTCTCATTTGCCTTTTCCTGTGCATTCTTACTCGGGTTCGGCTTAGAGCTGGGTTTCAGGTCATAAGTCGGCTTAGAGCCTTTGTCAGAAAAAGTGGGCTTTGCCGATTCTACTACTTATGTGCGAGAAGTGAGATTCGGGAGGGAGATCCTGTCCATCTCGAGTTCCCGATGGAGAGCGTGAGGATATATTCTCTCGAATTTCCTCACATATCTCATCTTTGATGAGGTGTACCTCCCTCTCCGAGATCAAATTCGCGTCTCGCCCCACGAATTTGCGGAGATACGAAACGGCACGTTTGTAATGCTTCGCATCAGCCACTTCTCGGGCCTTCGGACATCACCTCTGTTGCAGATTGCCTCTGAAGTTTGTCGGCGGGTGCCGACACAGGACCTGTTGAAGTTACACTGGAGGTCGGTCGGACAATAGGGTCCACACTTCATTCGTTACTACTATGGCAAACCCCCTGTGTAGATTTGGCTGGGATCACCGTGGTGTCCAGCTCATCATCAGTTAGGGCAAGATTTAATAGCAGCTTCTCCGGAAGCGTGTCCCCACATTGCTCTTTCGGTACCAGTCTGTCTAACTGGTCGAAGAGTTCCTTGTTTTGTTCCTCTAGACTATCGCGGTTAGCGCGTAGAGTCTCATGTAGGTCGTCCCCTCCCCGAACTACAGTCCTGTCAGCATAAGACTGATTTTCATCGGTCTTGACATGCTCATTTGCCAAAGGAATAGTCGGTTCGTCAACGTTTTGGTTTAGAATCGGTGCACTTGTAACAGGTACAGCTGTAGGTGCCAAGGCATCCACACCTAGAACAGCCGGATCACAATCGCTTGATCTCGACGACACGTGGCTTATGACCTCACCAACGATTGCCGCCGATACTGGGTTATTAACTCCTTGCACCGTAACTTTATTCTTTTTACTTCTTTTTCCCATCGTAGTTGATTTATTTAAGGGCACTACCCCGATCCATTTTGGTCCACGGGGGATCCGAAGATTCCCAAGGTTTCTACGAAGTGCAGAGAAAAGTTGATCTAGGAGACCTAGATCAGTTTCTCTCTGCACATCATGGGGAACGCCTTCCCATCCGCCACCCGGGAAGGCGCACCTAGTAGGTGATTGGCAACTCCCCGATCCGTACTAAATGTGATTCAGGGACGGCGTCAATTGAACTGAAAGTTACAGCATCGGCTTTATGATTGACATTATATGGCGTTGAGTTTATATAAAAGAACGGTTTTTTTATGAAAATAGTGTATATATTGGTAATTCATGTTAGAAAAATGAGACACTCTATGAGAATCGGAAAAACAAATTAGAGCCAAATCAGTTTAAAAACATGTCCTAACCCTTAAAATTGCAAATAATTATTTATTGAAAATGTTGAAAGTGATCTAATAAATCAAAAATAGGATATTGTCTTAAGACTTCATATATTAATACTACAATATATTTTTGACAAACGTATTTAGTCATTTTCATCGTTATAACTGCAAATAAACATTGAACATTTGTCAAAATCGGTCATCTATAGAAGTACAGATGATTGATTCATTGCTCTCTCTCTCTCTCTCTCTCTGCCTCTCTCTCGTCAAGTGATGTTTTGACAACTCAGGCGTAATTCCATCACAGATATCATGTGTTTTTGTAAATAACTTTCTCCTTGACTTAACTAAGTAGATAGTATAATAACATGTATTATTTATTTCTTCTTTTCGTATATTTTGACTGTGTTAGCATGAAATCTGTATGGGCTGAATACTGTACACAACTAACAACGAAATCACTGGCAAAAATATTGGGTCAGGCATTCAATCCGCGTTACATGAGTATTGATCCACCATTTCTCAATCAAGACAGTGATGCTAAACGATCCTCATATGAGATTCCATTTTATGCCGATAATGATGTGGTGTCCGTGGGAGATTTTCCTGCCTGGGAAACCGATCATATCAATTACTATGAAGAAAAGAAGGCCATTAACGATAAGAAAGTGATAAGAGTACGAAATATTTTCACACAGAAAAGTACAAAAGATCCACAGGCATCAAAAACCCGACCATGGGAATGTGCCTCCAAGTTAACATGGCTGGATTTGGGTATTAACTATTTTCCACGATACATACGTTCGGTGGAATGTATTTCGAATTCTTGCTGGTATGGTCATTACAATTGTAAACCAAAATCGTTTACAATAAAAGTGTTGCGACGCAAACATGGTTCCTGTATACGAGTCAATGAAAAATTACTACTCTTAACATCGGAACAATTTCCAACCGACTACACCGAATTATGGGTGTGGGAAGAGATATCAGTTAATTTTTGTTGTGACTGTGTTACGGCACCGGATGGATGAAAGATCGTTAAGCATTGTATATTAATACAAAATATGTGTAAATATTATGTATATTATTAAATAAAGTTATTTGCCCTTTAAGAATATATTAATGGTTTAGATTTTGATTTCTATGAATGATTTTTTGGGGGATTAAAAAAAAACTGCGATCAAAATCATAATAGTTACGATTACCACAAAAAATGATTTTAAGAAAACACGTAAAAGGAATTAGAATATGTCTGCTTTCAATTTTCTTCCCATCGTTCTTGAATGTAGTGGCATTGGAAGTACTTTGGTGGCCAAATACCTCGTACAATGTTTGACGTAGAAAATTGTCTCGATCAGAAAGGGTTTCGGTCCCCTACCATAAATGCGAAGCTATCAGATGTGCCAACATAACGGGGAATTATCAACTTCGTACCAATAAAGAGACGCGATCAATGTCATAATTGCAATCAAGTGTTGGCTGTTCGATTTTAAATACTAAAAACCTAACTTCCATATACATACATACGTACTTCTATCCGAAATTATAATTTCAACTTTTGTTTTTCAAAATTGAGAAACGCCGTGAATAAAATTTCAATATAGCTATAAAAGGTTTCATGTTATATATTCCAATTACGGGTTAATTTCTGTGTCCCAGTCACATTTTTCAACAGATGATTTTCCGATTCGCAATTCACAGGAAAGTATTTTCTTTGCCCCTTGCCTTAGTACATTTTTCTTTGCAAAAATTATCCATTGTTGTTATTGTAGCAGTTTTTACTGCTGTACAATATTTCTCTTTTTAATCTGCTTATAATTTTAATCCAGGATCAGTTGAGGCCACCCAGATCTGTAATGTGACAAAAAACTACTTTGGTTTATAACGGTAGCTGATGTTATTCTCCGAGGATTAATTCACCCTATATTCTCAAATTGTTTCCTCAACAGCAGTGTGAATACCATTCAATCCTGCTCAATCCCTGGTATTTTTAACTAGACACGCTTTTTTACCTCTGAACCTCTCTCCAGATCATAAAGATTCTTCCTGGAATATCAGGGCGGTCGGTGATAAAAACACCATTAGGTGATGATTCGAATGACTGATTTTGTAAGACCCAAGCAAATATTGCAACGACAACATTTTGTTGTGTTGACGCACAGGACGAATCATCGTTTCCTTTGGAGTCATAATTCGATTGCCTGGCACTTAGCGGACTACACTGAAGCCACCTAGTTTAACACAGGCCGCTCATCGCTGTATAGGTTCTTTATCAGCTCCCCATGTACTGCCGGCTAGTGTCTACAAATTTGTTCCTGCATCTGACCTTGTCGCAAATAGCTTTGACATGCGCTGACGACTCATGTGACCCCTAGAATCTTGAGATATTCAGTGGTAAGAATTATGGATCACTCGGTCTGCACATTCAAAGATAACCACATCTATCTATGTGGACCGTGCTATCGCTGTATAGGTTGTCCACAAGGTTTCATTGACAGCTCCCAAGTATTGGCTTGAAAACATTTTTCCTGCTCCGGATTCTAACGCAAATAGCCGTTTCCACGACAGAGGGGTCTACGATGTGAATCTACCCGAGTCATTCTCGGCCAACGTCTGTCATCTCAGTCCATTGTGTAAGAGCAATAGGGCTGATACAACAACAGCAAATAGCTTTGGCATGCGCGGACAACTTATGTTAACCCTATAACATAGCCGTTCTAGGGGAATTTTTTCTCGTATGGAAACAAACTGCTATATCCGCGAGTTAGTTATTCAACCTATCACAAATGTCATTAATTTGTACATGTGTAAAAAATATAGGTACATTTTTCTAAAAACGGAGCCTACTCCGCAGTTATATTCATAGCAAGTGGCACTATCAGTCTCTTCTACTACATTACCTATTTACTGACGTTCGACGATCGAAATGAAGTACATTTCGGGTAGAAAGTCACGTGCAGAAGAATTCAAGAAATACCCTTTGCCGTTATATTGTTTATGTTCGACTCCAAGGTCAATAATCACTTTTTGCATCTGTTCTTGAGCTCAGTCCACGTCTTACCAGTTATCATACTCCAAATTCGTAACATAACTGGACAAAGTTTTGTATTTTATTGAACTCTTGTCTCAAAAAACATCAATTGTATCTGAAAATCTTTCTAAATAAAACATTTTTAAAGTTAAGGTTCATTTTTATATAGAACAATCGAGACAATCCTCATCCCTATTATTGCAACATATATTATTTTGAAATTACCTATTAAAAAAATGAATTTCAACATTTTTGCTTTGTTTTTGTTTCTTTTATTTTTTTGTTTTTATTTATTTAACTGAGAGTACATTGAAATGTTACATTTGTTTTTACTTTGTTTTTGTTTTTTTTTTATAATAGGTAGTTATATTATTATGTACTTATTATAAATATTGTTATAATTTATTTTTTGGTATTTTTTGTTTGTTTGTTTTTTCATATAAAGTACAATCAAATCTATGTCTGTTTGTTTGTTGTTGCGTTTTTTGTTTTAATATTTTGTTTTCACGTTTCACTAGAATAGTTGATTTTTAGTTGTTTTTGTTGTTGTTGTTGTTCATTTGTTGAATATAATTTTTATTGCGATTAAATTTTGTTGTTCTTCTTTTTGTTGTTGTTACTTAATAATCCTTTTTTTGGTATCTTTGTGCCTTTATGTTTTAATTTGTTGTTGTTTGTTTGTTTTTGTTATGTATGAAATGCTTTCATTATTTTATTTGTTTCATTAAATACAAATTTGTTTGTTTGTTTCTTGAAATATATTTTAATTTAGTTAATTTTAATATCTTTGTTATTTTTTTTCTTTAATACTTTTTTCATGTGAGAAGTTTTTATTCATTTCATCATCTTTGTTGTTTCTCATATATATGTATTTACTATTTGTTTTGTTGTTATTGTTGTTAAACTAGTTTTGTAATTTATTTAGTTTGTTAATTTTTTGCTAAAAACTTGTTTGCTTATTCATTTTTGTTTTGTTTTTTCAAATATATATTTTTTTGTTACTTTTTGGTGGGTTTGAGTTTAACAATAATAATAATAATAAATTAAAATTAAATTTACTATATAAATAAAAATGATTTATTTGTTTGTTTTAGTTTGTAATGCATGAAAATAAAAACACATAAATTCTAAGTGTAGATGACAAAAATTAACAATGAGAACGAACAAGAATAGAGCAACACATTTTGATTGGTTAATAAAAAAATTGTAGGCGAGATTCAATTAGAAATTAAATAGATTTTACTAAGTAAATTTGTGTGTTATATGTTGGTTGTATGTGTGTGTGCGTGCGCTGTTTAAAAAATACTACTACTAACTGACATTGTTTTGTGCTATTTAGTTGATAAGTTCTATAAAGAAGTGTAGAATACTTTCTACATTAAAGCAAATCAGAATATTAAAAAAAACATTTTGAACAAAAATATCTGAAATCGTATAGGGACACATATAAATAAAATAACCTATGTGTATATTCATATTTTATTCAGCCCCAAAAGTGCGATTTTTATTTACATTGGTTAGAAGTCAATTTTTAATATATAATATCGTCTGGTAACCAAGAAATGGTCTGTATGTGCGGAGGGAGACCAATACATGGCGGCCAAATCTTTCCGAATGGGAACAAATAAATGCAATTGGCTTTGGTCTTAGTTGACGCCTATCATAATAATCCTTGTAGGAAATTGCACGAAGTATTATGAGGAGATGGCATGGTTCAGAGAGTAACATTTATTTCAGAAAGGAACGTGGGAGAAACGAATCTAAAGTCATCGTCATAGCAATTAAAATATATAAGAATTATATCACTAGTGATAACATTCGCTATATTCTTCGTGACTACTTCCTATTCAGTGTTGCCGTTTTGGTGATTTTTTACAAAATTTAGTTCAAAAAAAAAAAAAAAAAAAAAACTTTTTTCCGAAGGTGGTCCATTTTCATTCTATTAATTTAAAAAGTTTAAATGGCAATTTTTAATACTTCGAATGGTATTCAAAGCGATAAAGTGAAATAATGTTGCACATGCAGATTCTTGTGTGGTACAATATAAACAGCAATATTTCAAATTTGTGGCTCTTATTTTCTACTAAACCAAATAATATTAGGATACGCAACTGGACTTTATTACTACATGTCCCATTTCATAGAAAATTACAAATTACGAAATACAAAATAATAATTAATTGAATTGTTTGTATTCAGTTAACATTGAAAATTAATATCTAAAAACAATAACAGCAATTAAATTATTATTTGTGCATAGTTTGCAAACACACATACACACGCATACATTTATATTTTGTTTTTGTGTAAATAACATTTATTGCATAAAATATACTTCAATAAAAAAAGGTTCTGGAGACATTTCTTGCATAAAATATAATTTAACAAAAATAGTTTTGGAGACAGAAAAAAATAATATGTTTAACATTAATAAATATGCATTGTATTTCAAAATATACTATATATATTTAAATCTTAAAAACTACAAACAAAAATAAATATATGTTTCAATAAGAATTAAATTCTTATAGACAAAAAAATCTCTGTATAACTGGTTGTTATATTGGGGGGGTTGTTGTTGTTTTGTGTAAATGATTTTTTTGTTTTGGGTGTTTTAATAAAAAAAAATGCAATTGCAAAGCAATTTAAAAAAATGTACAATTCATTTATCTAAGACGAAAAAACACACACAAAATAATGAAAAATAATAATAATTAATAATAATAAAAAAGGAGCATTTGACTAGAACGAATAATATTAATGGCAATACAAAAATAAACACAATCATTTTGATACATATTTTTGTTTCTTTTCATATTTTTAAATAAATAGGATACAATTTACAATAACACACAATTGTTATTGTAATAGTTTCAATAATAATCATAATATTTATAATAATAATATTATTGTTGTTGTTGTTTCTTTGTTTGTTGTATTAATAATAAAAAAATAATACTTTATGAGCTATAAATTAAAGACACATACACACGCAGCATATAAATATTATTAGTTTTTGTTCTTGTTGATGATGATAATGCCTAATAAAGCAAAATTGTTTGTTTTTGACATTGTTGTTGTTAATAAATAACTAATAAATATAACTATAAGTATAAATAATTTGAGCTTCTTACAGAGATTGATTTGTTTAATAAACAGAATATTGAATGCGTAATTGCAACGAAAATTAAAGGACAAACAATAAATTAGTTAGACTGGGTTTTATAACAAAATGAGACAGATTTGTTGAATGAAATAAATTCACTGGGCTGCTTAAAAAAGTAATATTTCAAAGCTTTAAAATTTAAAAAAGTTTCAGTTGCATGTAAAGTTAAAAATAATAATGTAAATAATCATTAATATCCGCCTCAAAGAATTTTATTCTCTAGGAATATAATTTTCTAGAAAATGAAACCTACGATCATACATATGCCACCAATGAACCCTTTTTGCATAATTTTTTGTACTTTGCAACCAAAAATCTATTGCAAGCAATTTTTTTTTTGCATATTTTTCGACATAGAAAAAATTGTTTATTTTACACCTTTTTTGTCAAAATTTGTTAAAAATAAACAGTTTTTGTTTAGTAAGTTTTGTAGTTTAATAGAATTTTTCACCATGAGAATTGATTTACATTGCCCATTATAAATAGAAAGGGAAATATGTATGATTGGGTTAAATAAAATAGAAGTTTGATCTATGTTTTCGTTTTCAAATCATAACAATTCGATTGAAGCACATTTCTGAAATAAACATCTATGTCCGCAACGAATTTTTAGTCCATTTATAATTTATAATTTTTCAAAAAAAAAAAAAAAAAAAAATCCCAGTCAACTAAAAAATAGAGATTCAAAATTATGTTTAAATTAAAAACTGTAGAGAAAAAATTCGCAATCAACTCATTCAATTGCAATTAATGATGTTCTGTTGTGTTTTGTATTTATAATAGCCTGTTTATGTAGAATTCGAAAAGAAAAAATTCCGTTAAAAAATATTCCATTAATTTTTTTATAAAATGTTTTCCCTTTTTTCAGAAAAGAACACTTTAGTAGGCTTATAAAACGAATCGATATATAGTTTGGAATCTTTGAAAATTGATATAGGTCAAAGAAAAATTTTAGCTAATGACATTGGTACACATTGATAAGCTATTGGTAAAATGAAAATGTGTGCATGTGCAACAAATCTCAATATTTTTTGAAATTAATAAGTAAGTTTTTAAACGATGTTTTCAAAAAAAAGTTGTTCTTCATCAAGTTAAGGTATATTGCGAAATACTAATAATTTGAAAATTAAAAAAAAAAAAATCATAAGAAATTTTTTGATAAGAAAAAAATTATGCAAAGAGAGATTGTAATGTGTTGGTTAAGTTTTCTTTGTTTCTTATTTATTACTATTGGGTAATTTCGAAAAAAAATCGACACAATCCTTACTAGAAAATGTGAAATAACACCTTAAAAAAAAAGAAGTGGGTGTTTAATTTTTTTTGTAGATTATTATACCCATGATCCAATTAACAGGTCGTGTTAGAGGCGAAATGATTTCACGCGAACTGTCAAAATTTGACTTAATCGTGTGAAAATGTAAACAAAAAACTTGACAGTTTGAGAGATTTTCTACCAAAATGGTAATATTTGCCTCTTACACGACCTTTTAGTTGGATCATGATTATACCCGATATAAGTAACCAAAAATAGAGAAATTTATCATTGATCAAAACTTTTGTGGCTGATAGTGCCTGAAGAAATGTTTTTAAAACTCTGTTTACAGTTATGACACGACGCCATAAAATACAACTTTATCCTACTGCGAATTCACCCAATTAACCCTATTACTCAGGGCGGTATTTCATTGCAAAAAAGGAGTTTTTTCTCATCACAGATTTTGCTACATAATTTTTAGCATTGGCCTTTTAATCAATAATTTAAAAAAAATGAACTAGAAATACATTTATTAGATAATATTAAAAAATGGGTAACATATCAGGGTAGTCATATTCGACTTCAATATAAATAATGGCAATCAAGAGCAAACGTTCTTTATTTTTACATTAAATTAAAAAATCAAATGGAAACAGAAAAATATTGATTACCTTATTATCATATTTTATGTTCCCATATTCTATTGAATTGAATTCCCTGTTTTATATGTGATTGTGTCGATTTTTTTTTTCAATTTCCCCACTACAAACACAGCAGCGATTTGTTTTAAGTTTTTTTTTTTGAGTTTCTTGTTTTTATGGTTGATTATTTGTTGTTCTTTTTTTGTTTTTGCTTCTTCTTGGATTTTGTTATCTAAATATATATATATATCTTTTCTTTTGTTTTGTTATGTAATAATGTATTTTTTTTCATTTGTTGTTGTTCTTGTTTCTTTGCTAAAAACTTAATTCATTTAAATAATGTAATTTTCATTTTTGTTGCTTTGTTCTGTTATTTTTAGTTGTTCTATAAAGTTTATTTCTATTCATTTGTTTTTGTTGCTTTTGTTTGTTTGTTATGTGTTAATTCAACAACATTCTTCTTTGGAACATATTTTTAAAGTTTTGTTATTTGTTTGTTTGTTTTAGTTAATCATCATCATCACTATCATCCTGATTTTCTTCTTCTTCTTCATTATCATCATCATAGGCAATTGTAACTTAAATAGTTATTTGTATTTGTTTCTGTTATTTTTTCTTTGTTTGTTTTTAGTTATAATTTTCTTTTTTGTTTGTTTCTCATTTATAGATTCTAATTAAATCCCTAACATTCTATATCTAGAATAGTTGTTGTTGTTTTGTTATTTTAAAACATAAGAAAATAATTTCAATTTCATTCAGTTTTTTCTTTTAAGATTCAATTGAGAGTAAAAGAAACAACAAAAAATAGTAGACGACATTATCAATACATTTTTTGTTATATAAATAATATAGTTTTATGTTTTGTTTTTGTTGTTTTGTTGATGGGGTTAAAAGTTATTAAAAATATCTCAATGTGTTGAAGATTTGTTAATTTCCTTTTTGTTTGTTTGGATTTTTTTAGTTTTTGTTTGTTTAGCTTAATGCAGAAAACATACACTACATCATACATATATAATTAATTTTATATATATTTTTTGTAGTACTGTAGCACAAGTTACCACAGATTTTAAATCAAAGTATATGAAAAAAAGAAAACTAATAATAATAAAAATAAACCTTTATGAAAAGGAGAAAACGAGTCGAACAGCGTTTTAGAAAAAAAAAAACGAGATGATGATCGCATTAAAGTCACCAAAAATGAAAATTATTCTCTACTTTTGAGTTTTTGCCAAACGTTTAAAATCAATTGTTGTTTTGTTTTTGGTTTAATTTTTTTGTAGTTTTTTGTTCATAGTTTTGAAAGTTTTTTTCTTCATTTGTTGCAATAAAATCTATTATCTGCGCATAGTAAACTTTTGTTTGGTTTCTCTTAGTTACCGTCCATGCGGTTTTCTGTGTAATTTTGTTGTTGTTTTCAAATTGTAATTAGCCAAGAATTATGCCTTTCTCTTTTGTTGTAGCTGTTGTTTGTTCTGTTTCTTTTTTTTCTGTTTTAATATACTTTACGTTCTGGTCCAAATTTAGGATTAACAAATGAAAAACCAGCAAACTCATCTTGATTTATGCAGCGTACAACATCATTTGGTATGGGCGTTAGAACTGGTTCCTCTTTAGTAAATTCTGTATCAAAATTATTGGCGTCACGTGGATTTTTCTGGGAAAGAGACAAATAAAAAATAAACATTTTAAGAAGAGATTATTAAAACAATTAATTGCCGATAGAAATGTATGGAATCGTACGAAATTAAATATGTGATCTACATAGACTTTGAAGCAATTTAAATCAACATAGGGACTTTGGTGCACCATTTACATTAAATCGGACGAAAATATATATGAGAGCTATATCTAAATTTCGTGCATATCGAAAGATATATAGGGACTTTGGGGCACCATTATCCTTAAATCGGAAGAAAATGTAATTTAAAATGGAATGACAGACATGCATAAATCGACTCGGAAAGTGATTCTATGCATATTCTCAAAAGCAACCATGTGTCTATCTCGTTTCCTTTTGTCTGTTACGAACATATGCACAAAGACATAATACCATGTACCACAGTATGTCAAAATGTGGATCTATATTGAATATCTCTTCTACGTTTTCTATGCCTTGAGAAACCACTTCTGTTATAAACAGATTTATTCCCCATGTTTTTGTTATTAAATATTCAAATATTTTGTTATCGTAAAACGTTTTATCCATCACAAAATGGTTTTGAGAATACTTACCATTTTCGGCCGGAATGGTGGCTTTATGTTACGTTTCTCCAATTCATCCCAATCTAATCGACTGAAGAATGGATGGCGACGTATTTCATTTTCATCGCCCGAACAGCCTAAACGTTGTTCTGGATTTTTTGTTAGAAAACCTAAAAACATAATTAATAACACATATATGTGAAATACTGAATAAAATTTATAAAAATCACAAAAAATAGGATTTACCTTTTAAAATGGACACAGCTTCTCGTGATAACCAAACAGGATATAATACATCATCGTGCATAATCGAATCGAATAGTTCATCTTCGTTATCGGCTTCAAATGGTGGCTGACCGGCCATCATTTCATACATGAGAACACCAAGAGCCCACCAATCAACCGAGGCGCCATATTCTTGCTCTTTGAGTATTTCGGGTGCAATGTAATCGGGAGTGCCGCAAAAAGTGGTTGTCAAAACACCATTCATGATGCCCTCCTGTAAAATAAAATAAAGGAAATGTAACCAATTTAAATTATATCGTTTTTATCTTATGTCTGATACGATACACACCTTGCACATGCCAAAATCAGCCAACTTGCAGTGACCTTCTTGGTCTAGTAAAATATTATCTAATTTTAAATCGCGATAAATAACACCATGAGAATGTAGAAATTGTAAGGCCAATGTAACCTCGGCAGCATAGAAGGCAGCTCGTGCTGCCTCAAAACGACGTGCTTTTTGTATTTGAAACATTAAATCTCCACCGTTAACGTACTCCATAACAAAAAATAAACGATCCTAAAATGAAAAAAAAACAAGCAATATTATAATATGCTGATGTAATACAGACCGAAACCCTTCCCAACGGACTTCAGTCTACAGTAGAAGACTTTTTAAGGACTTAAGGTCTTATATAGGCAGAAGAAGGTTCGTGTTGCCATATTATAATATGCTGATGTAATACAGACCGAAACCCTTCCCAACGGACTTCAGTCTACAGTAGAAGACCTTTTAAGGACTTAAGGTCTTATATAGGCAGAAGAAGGTTCGTGTTGCCATATTATAATAATTCTATAGATGGAATACATAATGGAGATCTTTTAGAAGACATAAGATATGTCTTCTGTTGATAAATACCCGTTTATAGATAATAACATTCTTCTCACACCTATCAACAAAATAATAAAATCAAATTCAATTTGAATTTCATACCGGAGTCTGAAAACAGGAATGTAGAGCTGTTAAAAATGGATGATTTGCCGCCAGTGCTAATATACGTTTCTCCGTCATGGTGCAATCAACATCATCATCCTGTATGATGGCATCTTTTTTCAATACCTTGATGGCATAGATTTCATCGGTGCCCTTCTTTTCGGCCAGCATTACTTTGCCAAATGAACCTTTGCCCAGTACTTTGATGAAATTGAAATCTTGCAAACATGTTTTGCCTGGACGTGAGTCGTAGCAGCGATTCGAACTGGTCATGCCCATTTCACCAGAACTACTGCCGCTACTGACATTTGTGGCACCCGAACTGCTAGACGATGTGGTCTGATGTGACATTGTCGAACTACGCGTGGTAGTTGAGGTACAATCGCTGTCACCATGAATGCTGGCACCTAAATTATCCTCGCCACCAGGTTGATTTATATACTGAAATTTAAAGAAATTGATTAAAAATTAAATGTTCTTCAAAAAATTGGGAAAAATTACCCTTGATCGTCTTGGCTGTCCCTGCTTATCGGGTGATATACCCAGTGAGCTTAGGATTTCGGCCATTTGTTTTGTATTAATACCACATGTATTTGCAACATTCTTTTGGCAACGTTTATGCACATTCATGTTGCACACTTGACACTGTAGTCCCTGTTTGATCAGACCATACAACAGTGAACCACAATGATCACAAAATGTAAAACGTTTGTAATTGTGTACGACAAACAGATGGGGTACATTCACATTGAAACGTTGTCCAGCTGGTCCGGGTTCCAAATTGTTTTGCTAAATAAATACAAAAAAAAAAAAAAAAGAGAAATGAAAGAATGAAAATGGAATTGAAGCTATATATTGAAAAATATATATTTTATCATTACCTCTTCTCGCATACCGGGACATTTTGTAACAACGGAACGATGGCATCTCTTATGTACAACACAAGTGCAGACTAAAACCGAAGAGACATTTTTTAATTATTTTTTTTTCTTTTCCAAAATAAAAAAAGAATATATTAAATATAATAACAAATTTTAAAATTAAAAACGTGTGCCAATATGTGAGTGTATTTAAATATGCCAAAATAGGTTTTCTTTTCGTTTTGGAAAATTAGTAAGCAATGCAGAAAATATTTTAGAATAGTAATAGAACATACATAGAATCAATTTCATGTCGGTATTATTACATCGATTACACAATTCAATTCCAATTCAATACAATTAAAAACAAATGGATGCTTTCTGAGATTCTACAGAATATATTATTACATTATATCACAATTACCAAATCCTAATTTAATATACATTCGACAAGAAAGTAATAAGAACGATTTTTTAAGAACATAAAATTTAATAAAAATATTTATTTTTGAAGTTTAGAAAGTTTTCAGATGGATGCTGTTAGTAGGTATGCAGATCTTATATGTGATATATAGAATCTACGACAGACAATACCAGTGAACGAAATAAAATATACAACTAGTGAATATACTAAATTATAATTATTTTGATTGGAAATTCGTCCTTAGAAATTTCCAAAAAGCCTTCAAGTATTTTTATATATAGCCTAATACTATGGACTATATGTGGTTCTAAACTGATAAATGTTTGCCGGATCCCATCTTATCAATCTGAAGATTTAATAACTTGTGATACATAAATGCAATGGACCTTATCTGCCGTGGCATATATGAGCCGTTTATTTTGAAAGTGGTTTAAGTCCATTTTACTTATATATGAGATATTTAAAGGTTTGGGTTTGATTTGTTCCAAAAATATAAATAAGTGGTATTAATCTTGTCCCCTTAAATATTATGGAATATAAAACGTAATATGTTCGTAAACTTTTCCAAAAAACCAAGACGAAGCGAATCTTGAAATCGGCTGAAGCGAATCTTGAAATTTTAGGTGAGGGTCATTCTTGGTCCAAAGATGTCAGATAAGGCTAGGGTTTTGAAACGAAAAGTACTAAAAAGTAGGATAGGTGTACCAAAGGGTTTTTGGACATTCCAACTACAAGTATCCGAAAAGTACTAAAATGTACTAAATTTCTTAAAATTAGGATTGCGCGAAAAGTACTAAATCGTAGTACAATTGGTACAATTTGGATTTGGGTGAATCGATCACTGTTGGATTGGGATTTGTAGAATGTTTAGGAAATTCGTACTAACGTGTACTAAATTTGGTACAATTTAAATTTTAAGTGAACCAATAGAGCTAGAAACCTGAAATTTGGAGATAGAGTCACTATGGGGGTGTAGGATTGGAGTATGTAGAAAGTTTTAGAAATTATTACTAATGTGTACAAAATAGTATCAATTTGGGTGGATTTGGGTGAACCGATATAGCTGGAACACTGAAATTTTGAAAAAGGGTTACTGTTGGAGTGTAGGATTGTGGTATGGATGTTTGTTAGTTTGGGAAATTCATACTTATGGGTACTAAATTGTTCTACATTTTTTACAATTTAAATTTTGGGTGAACTGATGGAGCAGTGATTCTGAAATTTGGAGTTAAGATCATTGTTGGATTGGGCTATGTATAACTTTTTGAACATTTGTACTAATGTGTACTAAATGGTACCAAATTTTGGTTTGGGTGAACCGATAGATCTGGAATATTGAAATTTAAAGTTAGGATCACTGTGGGTGTGTTGGATTGGGGTATGTAGGAAGTTATGGAAATGTGCACTAAATTGCGAATTTTCTTCGTAATAAATGATACCAAATTTAGTATGGAGCTATATTATTTTCGATCAGAATTGGTGTATAGAGTTGAGATATAGAGTTACCTTTAGAAATACGTACTATAAGAGAACATACTAAAATTTTAATTATGGTAAATATTGGTTTTTAAATAATTCCTACATGAAATCCAAATAGACCAATTTAAATCAAACAAGTGAAAACGGCGTTAAGTTCAGACGGGCCGAACTTTGGACACCCTCTACCATAAGTATACTGATAGTTACTTGAAATGAAAACATGGGGAACATACCAACAAATATACCTATACCAACCATTGTTGTTGTACCATAATGCATACCAAACACAAATTTCGGCAATTTTTAATGAAGATTTGTCCTAAAACTTTGGGCACCATTTACATGAAATCGAACGAAACTATATATGGGAGCTATATCTAAATCTGGACCGAGTTTCTCGAAACTTGGCAGACATCACACCAGGCTTTATTCAATACGTTATGCCAAATTTCGTGCAAATAGAAAGATATATAAAGACTTTGGGGCACCATTTACATGAAATCGGACGAAACTATATATGGGAGCTATATCTAAATCTTGACCGATTTTCACGAAATTTGCAGACATCATTCTAGACCTAAATGATTAGGCTGTACCAAATTTCGTGCAAATCGAAAGATATATAGGGACCGTTTGCATCAAATCGGTTAAATATATATATATATATATATATATATATATCGGAGCTATATCTAAATCTGAACCGATTTTCCCAATTTCAATAGGGTTCGTCCTTGGGCCGAATAAGTGACCTATACCAAATTTCATCCAATTCATAAATGCGACCTGTACTTTGTTTACAATTTAACATGGACAGACAGACGGACGGACGGGCATGCATAAATCGATTTAGAAAGTGATTCTATGCATATTCTCAAAAGGAACCATGTGTCTATCTCGATTATTTTTGCCTGTTACAAACATATGCACAAAGACATAATACCCTGTACCACAGTGTGGTGAAGGGTATAAAAAGGTGGCGAATACTAATAATTTTTGGTAGGGAGATTTGTTACCATATACGACTACAAAATAACAAATTACAGCGAATTCGGTTGAAAAACGCGCTCAAGAACACCAAAATACCGAAAATTGGGGCTATACGAAAAATTGACCTGTATTCATAATTTTTTGTGAAGAAATTTGGTACGCATTTAGGAACTCAAAATACTAAATTACAGCCAATTCGGTGAAAAAATACGATCAAACCCCGAAAAATATTGAAAATTAGGTCGTACCGTTATATGGGGGCTAACAGAAAAAGTGGACATATAGTTATCATTTTTTGTGGAGAAATTAAGTACCCAATAAGAACATAATGTACCAAATTTTAGCGAATTCGGTTGAAAAACGCTCTTAACAACCCATAATGCCGAAAACTGGGGGTACCCTTAGCTATGGCTAAACAGGGACCGATATATCCCATCTTCGAACTTGATCTACTGCAGACAAAAGACAACCTTATGCAAAATTTCAGCACCCTATCTCAATTCCTTCAGAAGATAGAGTGATTAAACAGACGGACGGACATAGCTAGATCGTCTTAGAATTGAACCGCATGATAGTCCCATTTTTAAATGAGTTATAGCGCTATATTTGGATGGGTACAAACGTACCAAGGTTATTGATCTACGTAGGCAATAACACTAACAAAAATTAGATATGGAAAATATTAATAATTTTTTCTTCAATTAATTACGTTAAGGCAAAAATAACACAAGAATGATTTCTCACGTTGGCGAAGATTTTAGAAGTAAAAACTCCGACTCATTTTTTGTACGGCAAAATAGTATTTTTATAACAAACATTGCAACCTGGAATACACTTCAAATTAATTAAAACGTGAAATTTCCCCCTTGACCAAATTGGAAATCAGAAGGTGAACATGGTATATAATTTGTTTTTCTCAGTGTAGATTCTGCACTACACCAAACGCGCCAACAAACTTTCCGACTATTAAAGTTCATAATGAATAACGAACAATGTGTATTAAAAAAAAAAACGCAGACAATTGGACAATTCATGTTATGAAGTAAATAATAGTATTAAATCGCAAAAATATATTTATTTGTGTTTATTAATAAAAATATGACTACTGCAAAATAAAACATTCCTCATTTTATCTTGACAAAAAATAAACATTGCGAACGAACGAGTAGCAGATTGTTAGATATCTACTAATTGTGTGCCTATGATAAGGAGAAAGAAATCGTGCCGCAAAAACATGAATTACGTTAAGGCAAAATACTTGGATGCTCTAAAATAAAATCTCTCGGACAAGATTTGAATCATCGGAGATAAGCAAAGAAAAAAAAAACTAAAATATAGTAACATTATACACAGTGATTGAATTACAATAATAGAAAACGCCGAATTAATTTTTGTTTTAGTGACAGGTTTCAGCCCAGGAATGCTTACTGCCTTAAAAAAAATGAAAATTTGTGTCATGAATACATTAAGATAAAGAAAATACTGGGCGAAATCTATAGTATTTTTATGTGGGACTAATAAATTCGATTTGATTCTGAATTACAGTAAACCACATTTAGTACTCTTCAAGTACAAGTATCTAAACATTCTATAATCCTTCAAAAAAACACTGCCAAAATCTTAATTCGTATTGAGTACTATGGCACCTTAATGAAAATGTTCCACATATCTGTTAAATACACTGATGGCCAAAACTAAAGCAACTAAAAAATATATCGTGTTGTTTTTTTAGTTTTTAATCGGCTACTCTATTCATTTCAAAAAAAAAAAAAAAATAGCACTAATGCAAGGCCATTATGAAATAAATAAAAATTTATGGATAATGGAATTGTCTCAATTTTTGCTTGAACAAAACTAAAGCAACTCTACAGTACAAACAGATGAGCTCTAAAATGTAAGGTTTTTTTACCATTATAATTAGTATGTTTTGGTTTCTACACATATTTTGATTCTTATAGATCATTTTTATTACAATAACATGTGTATGTTTTTCAATTTTGACTTACTGCCAAAAAAAAAATAAAAATCGCTAGAAACAAATACAGTACTCCTATAAAACAGCAAATTACCAGTGATTTTGAAAATAATTTATCACAGAAAATGATTTGGGAGAAATATTGCAAAAGAACAACATTTCGTACTGATCAACAAATTATCATAGCAGTATAAAATACCCATCTAAGAGTTCAACGGAATTTG